TCGGATCATGGAGCCACAAGAGGGATTACCAGATCTGTGGAACGTAGCAATTAGACATGAGCACAAACACGCAAATTCGATTTTTGGGGAGAGGTGAGCTGGTTGGATAGGGTAGATAGGCGGGCTGGGAGAGACAGAAGAATAGAGAAATGGGTCAGGTCAATAATGAACAAGGCAGGGCCTGATGGGGGCGGGAAATATGGGAGGAATGGTTCAAGCTTATTAAGATGCTGTGGAACTGATGACTCAGTGCCTAGGAGGTGAGGCTGAGGAGTTTATATTGCGGTTATTTGTTTGCTACCTAGGTACTTTGAAATCAAGTTACCAAAATTCCCACGCGTCTTTCGTTTTGGAATGGGGCTCCCATGTTGTTGGTGTTGATACCAGGGTGGCAGTAAAGGCATAGGTAATAAACAATACTGTGTGGTGATGTTGCTGATAATGAGGCAGATGCCTGACTACGCAACCCGGAGACGGAGATGAAGATGGTAGATATCTCCTAGCCATCTTGCCATTATCGATGGACCTTACCAACAGCGTAAGTGAAGTCACATAATTGCCACTTCTGCGGGCGGAAAGGTTTCCTTCGCGGGGTGTCATTCCGAACCTTTCCCTCCTCGCTTGATGATCACTAGATGGAGATATGGACGAGTAACCATGGAATCTTACTGAGCAGACGTATGTGGATAGCCTCATGAATGAAGATACGTGGATGGAATAGACAAGGCTCCATCTCACCTCATCTTATATACACGACTCCTATCTTTACTGCCCGTTTCACCGCTTGGCTGAATTATGATATCATAATGCGGGATGTGTGTCGATCTTCAACAGTAATTCAGGCTTCAGTACTGATGTCCAAGGCTGTGCTTATGCCATACCCACCTCCTGGATTTGTGGCCGGTGGTCGGAAGCTATCCCGGATTATTTCGACTGGCGGCTCGGAAGGTACGGCGGATAACGCGGCCCGGGGATGTCAGTTGGGGAAGAGCAAAGATTGAAACAAAGGCACGATGGGAACAAGACGGGATGGCGTCTTACCGGACCCCAGATGTGCGGGTCATAGCACTGCCTTATGGGCATTACCGAAGCCACTGAGAAGCTTATCCTCTCTGTAGGTTCTTTTGTAAAACGCAGATTTCTTTGCGAGGTGAGCGTACGTGTGAGGCTTGAGGTGCGGTGGCAAGTCTTGGTGACTCGCTGAGTGAGCACCTGCTTAGTCGTAGATAGCCTCGTGGGCTGTTGCTGTTCTGCGGTCGGCTCAGAGTCATGATATCATCTATCATTCCTTGTTTGGAGAGCTTTACCAGGTGTGCTTGCGTATGTTTGATTCCATCAGCCAACGTTTCAAATTCTCAACTGATTCTTGGAGTCGGGGTCAACTTCTGTCAGGCATGAATGAGACAAAAATGCGCGATGAAGGAATATGGCAATCTTCATTCGAGATGGGAACATGATAAGAGGTGACCTCGGGGTGGGGCTCTACATGCTCGCGACGCGAGGCCGAACCACAGTCTAGAGAAAGATGGTTGAAAACGGCTGTGGCTTGCCACTGCTGGTTCCTGGTGAGTGGTGTGGCGGAGATAGGGCTGACCGCATGGCCTTACATGATATGGCATGTGGTTCAGAAAGACATAAGCTGCAGATCATGAAACTCTGAGCAGTTCTTCTGAGTATAGATACATATGAGCGAGATCGGATGACGATCATGTGAAAATTCAGAGATGCGAGATCAATCCGCGGGTGAGATCGGGCGCATGTGAGAAGCAAGTTGTAACCTTAGATCGACTGACAGATTGTTGTCATTCGACGTCGATATGAGGATTGTTTACGACATTCAATTGAGAAAGGTAGTCGCTTGTAGAATGGGTGATAAGGTTACACAGCAGATAAGCTGCCATTGGTGAGAGGAGTTCTCTTTTGACTTATACTTTGCACGTGGCTCAGGAAGGTCAACAGCACGTGCAAGTCACGAGGATCCGAGTGTCTTGAGTCGGCCATCGGTAGGTACCGATAGGTTGGCCCGTGTTGGTTTCATGTTGTTACTCACACTTGTCCATCTTAATCGACAACTAGACAAGGAAACCAATGATTTGGTATCGGGGGATGTGCTTCATCGCTGGACACAACAGAAGAATTCGTCATGTCTCCTCCTTGACCGCCCGTCTCCGTGATGCTCAGCTCTGACCAGTATTTCATACCCGACGCCGACTGGAATCAAGCATACGAGCCCACCGGGTCTCGAGGTAAGCGAGACGAGGCAGAGCGGAGGTGAAGCAAAGGATGCATGTACGGAGGCCGCGATCTTTTGTGATATGTACTCCCGGAGGCCTACCGCATTACCGTACATGTCCGTCACTTGAGATCTGAACTCATCGAGTAATGGAAAGAAGAGGTTACGGCGGTCGGTCGGTTCACGGTTAGCTCGGGGGGTGACGCATCACTGGATGGCCTTATTGTTGCCCAGACGGCTGGACGGGGTTGAGGTGGATAGGGCGACATTCCCTGACATCTCGACATCTCACTCACATGTCTTATCATCTCGCATTTTGAAAAGTGTCAAAACTTCCAGATTGGGCGTTTGCCAGACAGCAGATACAGGCTATGGTGTCGATGCTTACCTACCCGCTGACCGTGGAGGCGGCGCGGTTCGATTGATCGCTGGGTGGATGAGACCTCGTGAGCAACAACTGCCGTGAAACGCATGCAACCAAACACATCAAACATCTGGAAGCCTCGCAAATACTAGGATACGTATACCACCCAACATCGAAGACAGATCCCCGCCGAAGAATTACCGCCGAAGCGATTGTGCTACTGTCGCCTCCTGCTCGAGATGGTTGCAGTTCAGGTAGCAACAAGTCAGCCACGCCAAGCACATTCATTCACCGCCTCCAGTGAAAGTACACAGCGAAATACGATCTCGGTCTGCAAAATCACCATTTGCGTGCCTCTATCAGCTGCGATGTGCTTCCTATCAACTTCCTAAATACGAAATAAGAAATAAACCCGTGCAAAAGAGAAGAGATACTCATTTGGCAGTGTCCGAGAAATCACGGGATGTGGTTGACCGCCACTATCACGACTTGCAAAATCCCCTATTGGCTTTGGCGTAACACCAAGGACCATGGTGATGGTGTCATTGATGGATAAGGGTTGTTGATTCGAGATTTCTCTTGGAGAATGCTTGAAGGAGCGAATCACAAGCTGGTATTTGGGGGGTTATAGAGAGGCCTCAAAACGCCATGATCGCCCCCAACATCACACCGAAATTACGCAATCCAACCAAATTCCAACTTCGCTGACTGGCTTGATCTAGACCTCCACAACGTGGTCTTCAACCTCAGAATTTCTTCTTTTGGCACCCTCCAGTCTACTTCACTCGAACCTTGCATAGAGGCAAAGACGCTATTGAAGGCGTTCGATTGCTTGCAGGATCGAGGGCTAAGATCGTGCGTTGTGGTGACGATGTGTTTTGTAGGGCTGATGGCTGCTACGATAAATGCAAAGAACCAGTGAGGTATCCCTTAACAAATATGACAATAAGAGGGAATTATTCAGCAGTAGAATTGAAACCTCGTGTACTAATGTCTATGTCTGTTACTTGAATTGATTGATAGATGCATGTTGAGCCCCGTTGTCGTCATTGAATCCTTAACTAGGTATTATCTCTATTGGTACTAGCTAGGTACTATAGGTCAATAAACAAGGTAGTGTGCTGATACCCCAAGACACGACAGCTCGCGGATGCCGAACTCATCTTACGTGGATAGCCTAGAATATACCATCATCTCGCTCGCCCGGACCAACCTCATTGGGTGTTTTGTCCGTTTTAGAATGAGGTTGGGAGGCTGTGTACCTATTAGAGGAACAAACGAGGCCAGTCCGGGGCTCCGTGGCGAATTGTAGGTCGATTTGAAATCAAAAACAAAAATAACTGCCCGATTTGGAGCCAACAGATGCAATTCAAGCAAAAGCACAAGCACCACCCGGAGAGTTTTGAGATTACATATTCAGCAGATTGTGACAATAGATTCACTAATGGGCCCAGAACGGTGTTGTATTTGAATTCAAGTTACCTACTCAGATTAACAAATACACTGCACTGTGGAGACATACCACTCCAACCTTCCGTGAGAAATTAGTATCAAAACACCTCTGACATTTCTCAGCATCTCAACACTCAACACGCAGCATATTCCCTCAACATTCAGCCTAGTGCTATGAGCAGGTACAATACGCCCTCAGTGCTCATCAAGAACAAAACATCAAACACACTTTAAGCATCCCAAGAAACATCATCATAGTATCAACCAAACTAAAAAGGACTATTTCATTTCAATCTGAATCATCTATGAATAAAACCTGCGTTTCCAGGCACGCACTCGACGCAGCATAATAGCCACATTTGTCCACCTCTTCATAAGTATACAGCCAAATTCATCCGCCGTCAACGTTGGACGAAAACGACAAGAGAGCATTGGCACGATCTATAACAAAAAAAACAACCCAAAACTGAACCAACAAACTAACAAAGAGATAAAATAACACTAACCGAGAGAAAAGACCCTTCACGCAATGTTAACAAAAGACCAAAATATTAGAGAAAAACGGAAAAGACTTTGACCTCCAGTTGACACTTCCAAGGAAAGAGATGAGATAACCAAAAGGAGATTGACAATCGTTAACTATACTTGTGACAGATATAAATCAGCAGTCTCTGACTGTACCAAACCAAAAAAAAAACCATTTCATCCAAAGACAGTAACACATAAAAATGACACCCCATGATAAAACAAAATGAATCCGACCGCCCCCACCGAACCTGTACATGAGTTGTTCCTCCCCCCAAAGGAGAGACTAAAAGAGGAAGAAAAGCGAAACAAACTAGTACCCAGCACCCTCTCATTAATAGGAATCCTCGTCTTTCCCGTCCATTACACACACATCTTCGTTTTTATTGACTACCCTCTCCTCTCACATGTTCGTATGACTGTTGTTTACAAAAGCACTTCGCGGATGAAGCTTCCGAGTTGCTTGGCCTGTGTCAACGGTGTGGTTAGTTGGATGCTGAAATGCAAGGAGGAAACAAAAGACATACCTGATCATCATGCATCATCGAGAAGTGGTTCCCTGGCATGTGTCTGAACTGCATCTTGTTCACATCCAAGTACTCGTCCCACCTGTTGGGACCAAAGTCTGTCCGGTTGTCCAACAGGAAGAGGGCGTGTCCCTTGGGGTATGGTTCTGGTCGGGGGTCGGTGGGCAGCTTGCACACACCGTCCTCGCACCAGATGGTCGTCACCTTGGGACATTTCTCCTTGGGAATGGGCTCCGCGTCGTAGTTGCTCAGTGCCGAAACACTGGCAGCGAAGTGGGGCAGGAGCCAAGGGGGGATCTTCTTGTCGTCGCCGTCACCGAGGAGGCCGATGGAGGCGAACCAAGCGTGGAGTCCCTCGGGGAGGGGCTCGATGGTGACGGGGCAAGGAGCATCGATAATGATCAGGTGCTCAACCTCGTCACCAGCCTTGACCAGCTGGGAGACGATCTCGTAGGCGATGACACCACCTGCGGACCAACCGGCAAGGGAGTATGGGCCCTGCGGCTGACGACGCTTCATCTCCTCAATGAACTTGGAGGCCATGCCATAGACACCGCACTTGTATTCCTCAGGGGTCTTCATGAATGGGGAGAAGAGACCCCAGACAGCCCAGTCACCTCCCACGTCGGCGATCTCAGTGTAAGATGTAGCGGAACCGGAGCCATCAGGAATCATGAAGAGATGCTTCGTGGCGGTGCGGTGGCTGCCTGAGAGAAGAACCGAGGAAGCCTTGCGGTTTGGGTAGTCATCGACAATGTTGGTAGGTCTGGGAGGCTTGGGAGGGCAGGGCTGCTCATTGCCAATGCGGGGGTGCTGAGCGGTCTTGGGAGCGGGAGCCTGCTGCTTTGACTGCTTAGGGGCAGCAGGGCGAGGCTTGGGGGCATCAACGATGCCCAAGGCACGCTCAACATCCTTGAGAGATGGGTTGGAGACAAAGAGATCAGATGGGATCGTCAGACCGGTCTTCTCACGGAGTGTACCGAGGATAGACAAGCTCATCAACGAGTCCATGCCAAGGTTGGCAAGGTCGGGGGCAGCGAGGATCTCGTCAACCTCGACCTGCATCTCACCAGCAATGGTGTTGCGAACGATGCTCTGAAGCTCGCTGCTAGAGGACCCAGACTCGTTCTTCAGACCATCACCCTTGAGAGAGTCTGTCTCACTCTCATCAAGAGGAGTGGTGACGTTGGAGTCGGAATCAATCTCAGGTGACTCATCATCAGAGTTGTCGGATTCGCTGGAAGAGATGCTCGCCTGGACGCCAGACTTCTCAAATTGAGCCAAGTAGATCTTGAAGACGCCAATAGTGGGGTGGTCAACAAAGGCATTGGAGTGAAGATCCAGGTCCATCTCCTCACGGATGCGACCGCTGACAGTCAAGGACATCAGAGAGTCAACACCAAGATCTGTGAAGGCGATGTTGTCGGCAAGCTCATCGTGGCTGCAGCCGACCTCCTTGGCAAGGATATCCATGACCTGGGAGACAACACCCTTGAGCTTCTGGTTCACCTTGCCAATGTTGGCGGGGGTGACAGTCTCCTTCTTCTTCTTGGCGGGAGCAGCCTTGACCGGGGCAGCCTTGGCCGCAGGAGCAGCACGGGCAGGTCCGCTGGAAATAGCAGTGCCGCGAGGAGGCAACATCATGTTGAGGACCTTGCGAGGGATTGCTTGGAATTTGATGTCACCCGTGATACCGATGACCTTGTCGCCGTCGAAAACGTAGGCATCACCGGCATACATCTTGGAGCCCTTGATGGGCTGCATGCGGATGTAGCTGCGATACTCCTTGTTGGCCTGAGGAACCTCGGTGAACCTCATCGAACCCCAACCGTGAGAGATGAACACCTGCTCACGTGAGTCGACGGCGTCAGTTCCGTTGATGATGAAACCGGAGATGTGGCAAGAACTGTCGATGTGGTACGGGCTGAAAACGTAGTTGCCATCCTCCGGCGTAGTCTGGAAGCGGATTTTGGCAGTAGCCTCGCAAGTCTTGCTGTCCAAAATGACCTCCTCCATGCCCTGATATCTGCGGTTGTAGTCGACAAGAGCACCGAAGAGCTTGTAAGCAAGCCCGCGGCCAATCTTGGAAGCCTCACCACGCTGCTCAGCCGCCTTGAGTGAGTCGATGCGGGTCTTAATCAAGTAGGCAACACGGTCAAACTCGTTCTGCCAGTCCTCGAGCTCACCGAAGTAGACCTTGCAGATAGCATGGTCGGTTCTCTTGGCGCCATCACCAGTGTGGAAGACAACGTCGGCCTGGCCGGTCCTAGCATTGGCGTTGATAGTCATGCGCAGTATGTGGCTCTTTGCGGTGTCGTTGAAGATCAACGTCTTGGGAACTTCCATGTGTGCCACATTGGTGCCGATTTTTTCGGTCCCGGGCCGTACCAGCTTGTAAGCGTACTGGCATGCGGTCATGGCCATGTCGCCATAGAGCGAAGATGGGCACAGAGGAGCACCGTTGACCAAGTGACCAGAGACCACGTTGCGAAGCTCTGGTTGGCAAAGATCGGACTCGGTCTCGAGGATGACAACGTCGCCGTTGACCTCCTCCTTGGTGATCTTCTGAACGGTCGTGGTGGACAGCTTGGGCTTGGGGGCCTCGATGGCCTTGGGACCAGCCTGGGTTCCGACGCGGTTCTTGGACAAGCACCAGTCGCCAGTGTACTGCAGCCAGTAGTTCTTCTCATCGAACGAGTAGCTGGGCAAATCAAGCAGGCGAACCGATTCGCTGAAGTCACGGTGGAACTCGTTGAAGTCGACGTTTAGACCAGCGGTGTGCAGAGTGCACAAGCTGGAGGACAGAGTCCTGTAGCAACCCTCGTTGCGACGAAGAGTCGGGACCGCAATGGTGGCAACGCCGAAAGAAGCCTTGACCATACCAGCCAACACTGGGTGAGGGCCAACCTCGAGCCAGACAGTCTTCTCGTCAATGGCACCAGACTGCTGAGCAGAAACCAGGCCACCGAGAAAGTTGACGGCCTCACGGGCATGGTTGCGAAGATAGCCAGGCGTGATGGGCTCGTTCTCGACCATCTTGCCAAGAAGGGGCGAAATGATGGGCACCTTGGGGGTGTTGAACTGTACAGACTTGGCGAGCTTCTCAAAGTCGTCCAGGATGGCGTCAACCTGGGCCGAGTGGAAGGCGAAGGGCACACGGAGCTGAGTGCACTTGAAGCCGGCGCCGGTGAGGTGTTGGGCAATCTCAGCCATCTCGCTAGACTCGCCGCTGAGAACAGTCTCGCGAGGGCCATTGATGCAGGCGACATTGACACCAGTGGCCTTCACACCAAGAGCGTCCATGATGGTCTCGACAGAGCCCATGGTGGCAAGCATAGCATGGGTGCCGGCGGTGCACTTCTCAACAAGGAGCTGGGCACGCGCGCCGACGAGGTAGATGGCATCACTGGCGGAAAGAACACCAGCCACCTCGAGAGCAGCATACTCACCCAGACTGTGGCCAAGGACCACAGCAGGGCGGATACCCCAAGATATCCACAAGCGGGCAAGAGCCATCTCGAAGCAGGCCAGGCCAAGCTGCACAACCACTGGAGACAGCTTGGAGACATCAGACTCGCTGCCGTCAATCAGGGGCAAGAATGATGGGAAGCCATGGATCTGAGCAATGCGGTCAAACTCGTCAATGTTCTGACGGAAGACCGAGTAGTGCTCATAGAACTCTTTGCCGAGGGCGGGGTAGTGAGATCCCTGGCCAGTGAACATGAAGGCAACCTTGGGTTGCTCAGGGAGAACAGGGACGAAGTTCTCCTTGAGGCGGGTAGAAATGGCCGACTTCGCCTCGTCGAGGTCACTGGCAACGACGTTCATGCGCCAGTAGTGCTGAATCTTTCTGGCAGTGGTGGTGTAGGCCACATGAGACAGCGGCGTCTCGGGGTTCCTCTCCATCCAGCCAACGAGGCGTTCCGCATTACGGATCATGGCAGCCTTTGACTTGCCGGTGAGGGTGACAACGTGGTGGCTGCGGGGATCGGCGGTGGCCTTGGGGCGCTGAGGCGCATCTTCAAGAAGCAAGCCAGTGTTACCGCCAGCGGCACTGAAGTTGTTGATGAAGACGCGTCTGGGCTTGCCATCCTTTCTTCTGAAGGGGGTGGTGTGGAAGGCAATGTTGACGTTGCGCTCAGACAAATCCTTGGGGAAAGTCTTGTTGATGACGGAGCCCTGCTTGATACCCACGTGGGGTGGGATGGCATTCTTTTGGAGCATCATGAGCACCTTGCACAGAGCAGTCACACCAGAAGCAGCCTCTCCGTGACCGACATTGGCCTTGACGGCACCGAGATAGAGAGGTCTGTTGGCAGGTCTCTTGCGCTCTGCGGGGGCAAAGACATTGGTGACAGACACCATCTCGGTACCATCGCCAGCTTGAGTGCCGGTTCCGTGCATTTCAACATAGTCGACATCAAGGGGATCCACACCAGCCTCGTCAAGAATCTGGCGAGAAAGGACAGACTGCGTCGGTCCGTGAGGATGAGTGATGGAGATGGCATCAGCAGAGTGGTTGGTGGCCGTACCCAAGATGACAGCAAGGATTCTGTCACCCTCAGCTTCGGCATCCTCCAAACGCTTGACGACCACAGAGGCGCAACCGTCACCACGGCAGTAGCCGTCAGCCTCGTTGTCGAAAGTAGCGCAAGGTCCCTTCTTGGACAGGAATTGTCCTCTGCTGAGACCGGAGAAAATGTCCGGGTTGGTCATGCACGACAACCCACCGACAATGGCAGTGTCACAGTCCCGAGCCCACAGAGAGGAGCAAGCGACGTTCATAGCCGCGGCACTGGACGAACAGGCAGTATCAATGTTGAGACTGGGTCCGCTGAAACCAAAGTGGTAGTTGATGCGTCCGGGGCCGAAAGCACGCACACCACCCGTGATGTAGTAGGTGTCGACCTCCTGGGCCGCATTCAGTTCACGCCAGTCATCAGATGTCTGGCCGTAAAAGGTGCCGATGCGGTCAAGGCGGGTAGTTGGCGTCCGGTTCGGCACATAACCAGACATCTCGAGAGCTTCATAGGCCGTGGTCAAGGCCATGCGCTGCATGGGATCGGTCTGGAGCGCTTCACGGGGCGACATGTTGAAAAACCGAGGGTCGAAAAACCCGGGGTTCTCAATCCAGCAGCCATAGGGCGTGTGACTGGTGTTCATGATCTTTCCGGTGGGATCATAGTGAGACTTGACATCAAAGCGATCCGCCGGGACCACACGGTGGACATCCAGGCCCTTCTCCAACAGCTCCCAGAGCTTCTCGTGGCTGGCAGCATCAGGGAAGCGACCTGCCATGCCGACAATGGCCAACTTGCACCTTCCCACCGACCCATGGTTCCCGATTGTCGAGGACGTGCTCTCCGGTGACACAGCAGGCGGCTTGCGGAGAATGACCTCCAAGTCTGTCTGAGACTTGAGAAGATTCGCGAGCGTCGCGGCATTTTGAGTGGGACCCAGCGGCAAAATGAGACAGCTATCTCCCTTGAACTGGCGCGCCCGCTCGAGACACCCGTCGAGGACCTTGTTAAACATCAGAGTCTCATTGAGAATTTCAAACACGACTGATTTGATCAGCGTCCGCGTATCCGTCGCCGCGAACCAAGTCCCCGATGTGCATGACATAACCGCCGACCGTGGCCGAGTGTTGTAGAAGGCATCGACCACTTCCGGATCATCTAAATGCAGAATCTTGTCGATGTTGGCGGAGGCGTGTAGATGAGCGGCATGATACGGGCCGTAGACTGGAATCGACGTCGGCTTGGCTGACAGCCTGCCCTTGGCAACCAAGAGTCTGAGCGTGGTGGGCGGCCCAGAAATGGCGAGGCTGCTGGCGGAGGCGGCACTGACATAGGCACGGCTCGCCTGGGGAATGCCCTGATACAGGTTGTCAGTTGGCATGCACAGAATGAGACACTGAGTGAGACTGTTTACACTTACATTTTCGCGATGGAAGCTCTCGAGGGCAGCCGTGGCATCGTCCTCCTTGAGCCCTGGGAAGATGTATGTCCAGCTCTCTGATTGCTCATTGGCAGGACATAATCGGTCTCCCAGTGTGTGAACGTACGACCCAGTCCTGAAGGCGAGAAGGACAGCCTGGACGGCCACAGGTACCAAGGCTGACAGGGATGGTGTCGATGCAATGGCAGAGGCGGCAAACAGCCCAGAGCAGAGACCGACAAGGTGGGTGCTATCATGCCGGGTCACATCCTCGAAGTTCTTCTCTGCGTGGCTGTAGTGGTACTGTGGTTAGCTTCAACGGTGTGCGGTGCAACCCCAGAGAGGGGGTTTGAGGGTGGATCGCCGGGGGGGGGGGCAGTCTCACTCGATGTAGTGTGCCAGTTGAGATATACACAACAACGCCCCATCGATTCCTGGGTGCTTGAGCTTCTGGGCGTAGTATCTCTCGTTTAGTTGCTGAAGAGTTCGGAAAATCGGCAGTCGTGATCGTTCCACTCGAGGCAACTTCTCAACTTCCTTCCTCAATTCGTGCCCGGCTTGCTCCAAGAAGGCCTTTGCGAGTATACCCTGTTTCTCCTGGCGAAAAAACTCGGCGAGGAAGCCGTGGGTATCAAGAGACTGGTCTCCGAAGAGAAGGAATGCCAACTTGTCAGCCATCTTGGAAGCCTGTTGACGGTTGTGATTATTATGGGGTGAGTGGATGATCCAGGAAGTTGGGTCCGGGAGGGAGCTACCACGGTCTTATTATATGAACGAGACCGGAAACGTAGGGCAGGATCCTCAGAGACAAAAATGATACTAGATCTGCCTGCCATGTGAGAAGGCTCAGCACCGGCGTCGAGAGTCAACTCCAAGCAGGGGGAGGGGTGCGAGGTGTGGCGACAACAAAGAACGGTAGCCACACCCCCTATTCTGCTGCACCATCCAATCCACGATCCTTTTTGCCGGTGGGATAAGCCCAGTGTCCGGTGTTGCTAAGTTTCGGTGACCGAAGACTCATTGATAGTCTTGGGGTTTCCCCTTTGGGGCGGCCCTCGATAGGCAAACGATGGGTACCTCGACTCGGGACACCGGCTCGATAGCCACCGCACTTGGGCCTGAAGAAACGCCATTGTCATGTAGCGGGACTCTCCAACGCAAGGGTCATGGTGCTAAGATGGGGCCGGGGCTTTTGTCATGACCAACACAGACAGCTGAGGATGCCGTGGGAGGACGGAGGGCCAGAAACGGCCCTTGCCGGCAACCACTGCGAAAGCCAGGCTCCACCAGTCCAACGGTTCCTGAACGGACAGCAGGAACAGGGTTATCGGATAGCACGCCAGCCCTGCACTTGCAGGCCCCATCAGTACCCCCTAGCCAGCGGCCACACTAGCTCTGCTGGTAAGGGATATGCAGCGACGTAAACTCAGAAGCGAGAGGCAAGGACAAAGCGTCGAAGCCAAAACAGACCATGTTCAACGGCGTCGATGATACGGCACCCGCTAGTGGCCCGAGAGGGTCCCGCCCTTTGCTGATCGTCATGGCTGGCAAGGAGTTTTGCAGTGGCCGGCCGCTGAGCCTATCGTTCATCGGACTATGGTGACGGACTCCCCCACGACACCCACGGCGCGCACGACCCGACCATACACAGTACACAAAAATTGCTGAAAAGCGGCTCGCAGTTTCCCCTTTGCAGCAAATCGTGCCTGATTTAGCCGCGGGTCCCTGGCGGATCAGGCCACCGCTCATGGTGCTGTCAAATCGCCCTCAGGAGAGCCGTGGTGAGGATGGTTGCGGACAACAAGGCATGTAGTTACCGCCAGCTGACAAGGGGTGGGAGCCTCATCGGCCGTAGGTGGCATAACCGGCGATTGCAACTCTCCACGGCATCCCATAGGTCCATATCATCCCACCAGCTAGTTGCTGCAGCTGTCAAGCAGACGGACACATAGATCGACCGCCGGATCGGTTGCGGCAGCAGAACGGAATTCAACACAATACTGCCGCGGGAAACTTCCAGAGCGACGGCAGGGTCAGGGCAGACATGACGTTGTGCCGAAAACGACCAGGCAGATCAAGCTTCGACCCCAGGTCTGGCAAGGTAGCATCAGCGGCCTCAAACTCGCTCATTGTGCTTGTGTCGCCGTTGCCGTGGCCATCGACAGGAACGAGAATGCAAGATAGGAGCACACTTGATGCTGGCTCGCACGGGTCCAACTGATCCCGACACACCTGTCATGTACACGGCATGATATCGAAAACCTGAAGTCTGCTCCTGCTCCTCTAATTGTGCACCCACTGCGAGACGCGCCTGCAAGGTTGTCAAGGGCTGCAATGGTTCCAGCAGACAGCCGGATGAGGGGAGGTCAGATGAGAGACATCAAATTCCAACACCCGCCCACGCCACTGGGCGGATCGACGGCGACCATGTCCGCACACGACGATATGATCTTAACGGTTGGTTCGCGATCGAGATGCCGCATGTAGGCGACTGCTGCTGTTGGTTGCCGGCCCAGGACCCAGTATATTGGCACTGATTTTCGACATGCTGAACACAACCAATTCTGTCTTTCTCTCTCTCCTCTAGCCCCATTAACTGGAAGGATGGATGGATGTCCTGCGTCTCAGGTACAGCAGCACAGCCGAACAGCTGGTCCGTGATTCTCCAGGGAAGAAGCATGTTTTCTTCAAGGCACACAGCGAGGGCCTCAGCAAACGACAGGGCCATCCTGGCAAACGGGCCCTGGGTCTTGATTCAAAGCCCACAGCCTCGCGAGGGACGGGGGAACGAGGGGGTGTCGATAACAGGCCTGGAACGGTCAAACTAGCTTGGTAGTTGGCCAGAAAATGGCGTTCAGATGAAGGTGTAGCGTAGCTGGCCTGGTGCAAGCCTCCGAGACCGGTCCAGGCAGGTAGCTAGGTGTGTGTGTGCGTTCGGTATGCATCGAACAATTTGGCCGATGGTTGCCGCTGAGGTCTCTGGCTTGGCTCTTCCGTGATCTCGGCCCGTTGTTTGGTGTTGACATTCGGAAACGGAATGAGGGAGCGCTGTGATGAGCATTGGGCGGTGGGTTGAATCGTGACGCACTGCTCGAAGCTTCTCATTGATGGAGAGCACGCATTCGGGCTCTAGGTTCCCGCCAAGAATCTTTTGCTGGGGAAAAAGCGGGGACGCCTTTCGGTAGCTGCCGGAACATCTCCACCACTCAGCTCCACAGTTGAAGATTGGACGCCCACCGATAACCCTGAAGTCCTGTAAGCCCCTAACCCTGCTCTATTTGGAATCACCAAAGCAACACAGGATGAACACAGAACACAGAACACACACAGAGCAGGAGCACATGGCAAAAGCTCAACCACTGGAAAGGTATCACGACAACTGGACTGTATACAGCTTACGTTGCCCCTCACCTCACGTCATCGCCACAGTTTTGGGTGGTGGTATCTGAGGGCTCGCAGCCTTGTTCCAGGCCTGGATTACATCAGCTCAACGGCTGAGCGCCTCCTCCCATCTTCTGCAAGAAACGGCGATCGACAGAACGCCCGAGACGGGCCAGTTTCTTCTTCCAAATCTACCATCTCAACGGTCACTGCTCATCAGTGCTCGCACCGGGAGGTCAGACCCTTCGTATCTACGAGCTTTATCTCCTTCCAGCCTTCCCGTTCAGAGTCGCCGTGTTGTGCTCACCGGGCATTGTCCCCGCCCCGAGGAAGCCCGGAAACCAGCTCCCGGCCGTCCGCTTATCGAAACCTTCTCATCGACGTCCAGTCTTACGGCGCGGCTGTCTGTGGCCAGTCTAGCGGAAATAACCGGTCGCTGTTCCCAATGTCATCATGCAGCCACCACCACACCACCACCACACCACCACCACACCACCACCACCGGACTCCGGGTTTCGCTTCGCCCGTCAGCCGCTGTGCCGTTGCTCTTAACCAACAGATACCCTTGTCCGGCCATGCTCCCCAGATCAATACCAGATTTGCCAAGACACCACCAGGCGATTGTGTTCCATAACCAGACCCATGGGACTGCATTCAGTCATATTTGTACCTTCGGCATGCTATATGCTGTTCGATGAGATCACTCGGTACTCATCAGGGGCAACCGCATATTAGAGCAAGATGAAGCACTTTGCTTTGTCGATGCGCTTGCTAGCCCGTCGTGCTTTTAGGTCCATGGCCATACACACAACATGACAAAGTTCCGTGAGACAGCTTCAATGCCAAATGTCATTGCTGGCTGGGTTCAGCTTCCATATGCACCCAAGAGCTGTGCGGTTCGGGGCTTGCGCAAAGCTGGGTGCTCTGTACGACCCTCGGCCAACCTCTTTTTTGCCAGACATCATGTTCTACTTCTCTTCGCTTTCCATCTTCGCAAGCCCTCCTTCTTTGAGGCTGTCAGTATTTTCGCGCCGACGTGGTACCGGCACTTGCTGGTCCTGTCATGAGCAAACACTGAGTCATTTTCAGCCAGCATCTGTCGTCCTCCCCAGCCGGAACTCGGGCGGCCTTTCCTCAAGCCACAGGTGGCACAGAAAGCGATAACCACATCCCCAAGTGAACAAAAAGCTGGCTACATTCTCATGGCCATCTCTTGGATCTCTGCTGATGGCTATGTGCAAGTGTTCCCGAACAAGACCAGATCACCGGTATCGATGGCATGACCAAAGATAGCATACGGATGGCCATCGGCATTCCGGAACATATCCCGATCTCCATGCGGCTGGCTGCGCTCAAAAGACTTGGGGAAGCACGTCAACGTGGATGTCGGTTAGAGGTTGAAGATACTAAACATGTAAGACAGGTTGATATCAATTTTCTTCTATCCGACGGGGAAGCCTGTCAACCCGTTGTTTGTGTGACACCGCAGTCTCCGGATTTGTGATGGCATTATCAGAGAAGGTTGAGGCCCTCGCATGGTGAATGCCCAGCCCTAGTCAATGCTCTCTAGGTACTCACCGTTCGGGTTCATGGGATGCTGTATTATGAAGCTGTGTACACCAGGAACATCCCAAAATTAGACTTTACCAAAGTATGCCGTCCACCGCTCACTACATTCTCTGACGGCATGAAACACTACATATCATATCAGGAATGTCTCTTAGTGGAGCCCACTACCACTCCATTTCATAGGTTTCTTGAGCTTTCGGTACCAGTGATATCCTCCAACCATGGTCTTATCCACGAATCGGAGGGAACATGTGCTTTTTGCAGGGTTTACGCAGATATACACTCCCCGAGACGTACAGGTTAGCCATCTGAGTGGTTGTCCCCGTACCTGGCGGCCCGTCTTCGGTTGCTTATCGACCGAAATATCCGGGTATGAGGGTTGTTGGCATTTGCCATCCCAGAGGCTCTCTAATACCATATCCGACGAAACCGTGGCACTTACACAGGCTCTGATGGATAAGCATCACAAGAAGTCAGAGTCCGCGGAGAAAAGTCCGTAGTCTTCTATCTACTGTTCCTCTTTTCGGACCTGAAACGCAGGGATTTTGACCGAGTCTCGCCTATACGGTTTGTCATTCCTGGCGAAGACATCTCTCCACACCGCGGTGAAGAATACCACGGGAGGAGGGGTGTGCAAGCGGGTTCTTTTATGCAAAGCTGATCCCTTCCCTTCGAGTCCGATTGCAGGGAACCATAAAGCGCACTCGCGTGGGGGACTGCGTGATGTCGTGGTTGGCTGCTCAGCAGGACAGTAATATTGACAGTAGCCGGGCAACTAGATATTGCAACCCTGGGCTGAAATGCTGTGCACACTTGCTTGATATCAGACAAGGAATACTTCACGAAACTCGACACCATCTTCACCGCCGCTTGCCAGTGGCTTTCCGTGCATCGGAACCGGAGTGAAGAGACGAAAGCCAGGCTCTCATAAATAGGGAGGCAGGCTTCAAACAATGAGGCTATGTTTCCTGACCATGATCCCGCTTCTCTTGCTGATCAGCACTAAACCCCACAATGTCTCTCCCTTGGGTCTTGTGGATCTTTCCTCTTCCCGTTCTCTCCTCCGCTCCCTTTCTTGGCCATCTCTTTATCTGTGACCACAGAGACTTTCCTTCAGTTCATGTAGAGCAATCACATTGCTTGCAGCTCGTATTCTCACTTCATTCCATAAAACCAACGAAGATCTTTAGTCAATGTAAGTCAGTGTTTTCATGTGATTCTCTTTCCCTTGATCATTTGGGCACAGTTTTCGTTACCAAATATCATGGGAGAAGAGAACTGTTCTAGAAAGCCGGCATATGCAAGATATTCTAGACATCTAGATCTCGTATAGTAGCAAACTGCAACAGCTAACAATGCCATTCATATCAGGTTCATCCAAGGCAACACCAGTGCAAAGTCTCAATGTCAACTCAACCTCTACAGCCGAGTCTTTCACCAGCCCTTCATCTTCATCACCCCTACCTACACCTCAAAACTGTTCGCCTTCCCTAGGTAATTTCACTTACAACAAGTTGCTGCTCATTGGCGCAACCTGCAACTTGCACCATTCTCAACTCATTTAAGCTCACTCGCCTTCAAGTATGGAAACTCAAAACTCACTCACCCTCCCAAAACAGCCACCCACACGAGCAACTTTCATCACTTCATCCCGCACGTTCTCATCTCCATCTCAATCAAAGTGAGCCCTGACTTTTCATCCAAACTTCATTCTCTATTCATTCTATCTCTTTTAAAAACACTACCTTATCGTCATTAACACTCAACCCCTACATGAAATACTCTCTCATCTCGCAACAAAAGCCAGCCATTAATCCGCCACCAAATACATCACCATGCCCCGAAATCCCCGAATCAAAAAACACAACAACAATTTTATTTTAACACATCGGAGGTATTAGGGGCACCTAATAAAAACAGCAGTTTGCGCCCCAACCCCATACAGAAAGGCAGAAACAAATGGAATCTCCTTTCCTCCTCCCTCCAATCCAACAACGACAAAAGAAAAAAGAAAAGGCTCAAATCCAAAAGAGCCTAAAACCCAATCCAAAAAACCACAAAAGAAAAAGCCCAAATCCATCAAAGCCAAAAAAAGATCCATGGTATCATCCCCCATCTCCAACCCGCCCTCCATGCCCGAGTCGGCATCCCTCGTCCCTCCAAATCAATACTTAGTCCACTTCCTAGAAGAAGAAACTCCCCATCCCTGAGGCAAGCTTCCCCATCAACCCCCTCTTCTTGCTGCTAGACCCAGCATACATAGCCCCGTTATAAATAGTCGGCGGCACCGTCACCATCCCCGTGGTATCCAAATAATCCTGCGTATTGCCCGCCGCGTTGCCACTCACCGGGATGCCCATCTTGTTGCAAGCATCCAGATGATCCTGAGGGAAGGTCAGATTTCTCAGCCTGTCCGGCGCCTCAATGATGGTGGCCGTCAGGCCCATCTCGACATGCCACTCAATGTGGCAATGGAACAGCCAAGTGCCCGGGTTGGTGGCCTTGAACCGCAAGACGGCGTGCGAGTGCGCCATGACCGTGACGGTGTCGCGCCGGGGCGGCTTCTGGTTGTAGTTGGTGTCCCTGCCGGACCAGTCCCCGGTGCCGGTCTTGGGGCGGTCGAGAACCTGGAAGTGATGGCCGTGGAGATGGAAAGGGTGGGTGGCAGCATCCTGGTTGTTGACCACGATCTGGACGACATCGCCGTAGTTGACAATGAAGGGGTTGATCTGGCCGTAGACGATGGGATTGCTGTTGTCGTCGCCCGTGGTGGCGGCCGAGTACAAGGCCGGCACCTTTTGGTCGATGTATGTCAGGTTGTTGAAGCAAGCGCGGGGGTAGCCGTTGGCATCTGTGCAGAATGCGAAGTCCATCTTGATCAGAGTGTCATAGTTGGTGTCGTTCCCCCCGAGGATCGCCTCGTTGTCATATGGCTTGAAGTGGGAGTCGTCAGCAGGCTTCCACTTGTGCACCACGTCCTTCTTGGTGTTTGGTTTGTTGTAATCCATGGTGAGGTAGCCGGTGTAGTTGTGTGGCCATTGGAGGGGACCCAAGTCGGGATTTGTCCAGTCGCGGTTGATATCCAGCGAGATCAAGAATGGGTAGTTGTCGTTGTCTCGATCAATGCACTCGATTATGAAGTCGTAACGCTGAGCCGTGGCAATGCGGAGCTGATACTTGACCTCCTTTTGCAGATAGTCGGCGTCATTCATGATGATGTTAATGTCGTGAGAATCGAAGTGAATCATGGCGGAAGCCAAGGCGGCGAAGCTGATCATGCGGAAGCGATACTTCCTGCCTTTGGTGAAGTTGACATTCAACCCAGCTCCCTCGTTGATGATCATGCCATCGGGAATGGGCGGAGCGAATCGAGTATTGCTAGGCTGCAGCATGTTGCGGACCATGGTAAGAGACTCATTGTGGTACCTGTCACTTGTTAAGTTGAGCCTCACAACCAATGGATGGTAAGCAACTCACCAATCAGAAACCGTCAAGATAACCTCTTCATCGTACGAGCCGGCATAGGGGTCATTAGGATCGTGAACAAGGAAAACTCCGCGCAGGCCGTCGGGGTATTGACCCATGTTGTGCGAGTGATCTAAATGTTGTTCTCAGCAAATGTCGCTTTGCATAGCGGTCGAGCCAAACTTACACCAAAAGGTACCGCCGACATCAACCACGAATTTATACTGGAGAGTCGAGCCGGGAGGTACTGGGCACTGGGTAACACCGCTTGGCCCATCCATCTCGGGAGTCTGAACCTGGTTGATGCCGTGGAAATGGAGACCACTTGTCTGATTCCCGAGATTGTTAGTGAAGTTGATGATCACGGTATCACCGACCGTGGCATCAATCTGTGGACAAGGCCAAGCATTGTTGATGCCGACCACTGGCCTCCCAACTCCATCTGGGGCTGCCCAGACCCAGGTTGCCGTCCAGTCATAGGTAACAGTAGCTGCTTTGACCGCCGTGGCGAAAGACAGAGCCGCAAGCGATAGAACACCAGACGACTTCATGGTCACCTGTTACTGCTCTCCAGTAAAATCTCGTTGACACCTTGACCACGATCTGGCCGATGGCAGGTGCGAGGGTAACGAATGAGGGTGAATAAGTATTAAAAATTAAAGAGGTGAAGGGGGGAGGAGGAGGAGGAGAGCCAGAGGAGAAAGCAACCGAATGCTCGGTTGAGGAGGTGTCGGATGATCCAAAGGAAAGATAGAACCCTCGAGAGTGGGAAACGAGGCCATTATATCGACCGGCCACGAGATAGCGCGAAGGCGAGAACGGAAATGCAAGGCCGCATGGTGCACCTACCGCAACAGGACACTAGGCCATCGTGAGGATCGCCCAACCAGTGCTCGGGTGCCAAGCGCCTTCTCCTAGTCCAGTATCGCGGGTTTTCGCTAACCCCCGGACCATACACTCCAAACAGGGGGGGGGGGGGGGGGAGAGGCTGAGGGATCCATCAATGGCCGAAGATGTTGGGGAGCAGAATACGAAGCTAGTATCGATTGTCTGTGTTCTCTTGGTATTGATGAGTGGCTTCTTGGCCAAAGTTCCGTTTCTGACGACTGTTTGATGCTGATTAGGTCGTCAACTGGGCTGATGGTCTCTATGGCTGCAGATACAAGATGAGAAGGCGTGGCAAAGGCGGCGAGCTGGTGTGGAGAAGTGGAAGCTGGGTCCAACCGCTGCCACGGAATAGCGAAGATGCCGCGGCATCAGAGAAACAGAAACAGGACACGGGTGGGCGCGTTTTGGCCGCCTCGAGCTTGTGGGGAGTTGGGTTTGGGCTAGCGGGCTGGTGCATCTTCCTCATGCATGTAGGCAAGCCCGGCCACGGAAAGAACAAAAGAATTCCTGTAATCTTCCAAATTGGGCGTCCTTGACGCAGCCATCGAAGCAAGGGGGTCGGTATCAGTCGAAACCATCACTGCTGGAACAACAGGCACAAGTTCCCACAGAAAGCGTAAACCTAGAGCTGATATTTTCGGTGTTGTTTCCACCTGTTCCTCCTCGAGTAATCATCAGGGCGCAAGCTAACAACAATAACAACACCACCACCCACACCCAGCTCGCAAAACAGTAATCCGAATCCCGAGCAAAAGGTCTCACTAACAACGTACAACGGTCAAATCGGCACCCGTCATGGGGAGACTGAATGCGGCTAACGGCGGTTAGCCCCCTTGGACTCGATCCGCTCAGCCGCTGGCATAAGGTCCAGCACAAAGGGTATCGAGGACGCAGTGGGAGGCAACCGCTCAACCACCAAAGTTCAATGCGCAGATGTTGCCGGTAAAGGTTCGCCGTGTAACTGCCAGACATGGCATAATGGCTGCGTCTCTCACCTGACCCTTGGAAGTCATGATGGAGGTGTGGCAACGCAACTTTCGATAGTTGTTCGCTGTGTGAAACCTGGGCTGAGCGGTGGACTCGGCCCAGACCCTGAACGTCACTCGAAGTTCAATGAAGCCCTCCTGAAGAAACAGATCGGCGCAACCACGAGGGTGAAAAGGCGGGAAAACAAAACACCTAGCGTTGGTGTTGCGGAAGAGCGGCTCTCACCGACACCTACATCCCGGATCTCCAAGTCGGCTGTGACCTCCATCGTCATCTCCCCTATCAAGCCATTGAAGCTGTTTGACGGTCAACTATTGCCAATAAGAATCCTTCATGCGGCTTGTGCCTTGACAGGTGTAACAAGACTCGAGAAGCTGTGTTCGAGGGGAGAGATCAAGAGCCGTCTTGGCAGAGGAAGTTGAAAGAAGCGCGTGGGGAGTGGGGCTTGGTGGAGCCCGCTACCGCTAGGACCAGGGGCTTTTAGCAGGGTCCAGCGGGGCGTTGATTGCCGGAAATAGCGCGAGGCGCTGGTGATCTGCAGATGGGATGTTTTCTTTTCCACTTACATCTTGGCTCGAGCAGCAGCTCTGGTTTGCTCCCTGCGTACCCCAACCCTCCCGTCCCGGCTTGTCTGGCTGCCTTGGCAACCCTCCTTGACCGCTCCAACGGCGTCGGCCCTCGAGCCGACAGGATGGTGGTCTTCGGTCTTAAGTGCGTGCTGCGAGATGGAGCCACCAAGAGAGCCGGCCTTAGGTGCTCAGCTTCCAGTCTTTGGATGCCCCGAGATCGCCGAAGCTTTGTTACCGCCGGTCCCGAGCCCATAATTTGCAATCCTTCATTTCCTGGTTTCCCTCACGGCTTCCAAGTCGCTTTGGTCTTCTTTTTCTCGGGGCTTCTTTCTCTCCTGAACTGTGGCTTGGGCAACTGCCTGTGGCAGCCAGTTCTGCTCGCAGTGGTGCGCGCCGGTCGCCAATGGCATGATGGGGTCTTTCTTATTTCCCGATGATGGCGTTTTGGGGCGTCCTCCATCCTGCCCAGGGTTTATGGGTGGTGATGAGGGTGTGTTGCTGACTTTGTTGTATGCTCCTTTTCTGCGAGAGCTCGGTCTTGGGCTGAGATGTGTCTGGGATACGTGAGATACGTGGGCCACTTCCCGGCCGAGCTCGGTGATTCTGTCAGTTCTGTCAGATAGGCCTCGCAGCTGGCTGCAGCAGCCAAGCAGTGCACCGCATTTTCGTCGACCTCAACTCGCCCAGTTACGTTCATGGTCGCACTTTTGGGTAGGATATGTCCTATCTGGAACAATCGAAGGCTGGATAACATCAAGTGGAAGCAAAGTAGATCCTTCACCACCCCGGGTGTGCACTGACTGAGTAATAGCCGCTGCCAGCAGGACATACCCGCATGTTGAAATACGAGAGGCACTCAATTTGTGAACTTTGAGTACGAGAATGGGATTTGCAAGCGACGAGTTGCCCGTGTTTCAAGTGGGATGAAAGGATGCGTCTCTCCGTCTCATGACCTTCTCATTATCGGAACGAGAATTGGATCCTTGGTCATACCCATCCTTGATACGGCCAGCCCTAGGGGAATTAAAGGCGTGCTCGGTCTACAAGCTCATCCTCGGATGAAATATCTCACCAATTACCCGAGGGGAACCTTCCGAGTCCTAAAGACGGTGTGGATGACGAACGAGGATCCGGCAGAAAGCCTGCCAAGAACCGGCAACATATTGGTGGGTAACACACGATGCTGAATGGAAAAGCTCGAGACCTGCCCCTGCAAGGTGCTAACTTCACATTTCACAGGCAACACTCTCACAATATGTCCCGTCGCTCCATCATGTTCAACTATCATATCCCTTAGTGTCAAATAGGTAGGTAGGTATACCTCACAACACAGTCTTCTGCTCGTTTTCGTGGTTAGAATACGCTTCACATGGACCAGACGTACTCGGAGCACATGCTCCTTGTCACACAAGAGCTCAGTCACCTTCCCTGCTCAAGGGTTATCCCCGGCACTTTCCGAGTTCCCGGAACGCTGTAAACAACAATTATTGAACGGCTGAAGGCATCTGCAAGATTGCTCACCAATATATTTACACCACATGAACATCATAGAGCCGTAGCTGCCCGTTATTACATGCCCATACCACTTGGCATAGGACGCTCCACAGCAGTCTACCTTATCACATAGCCAAGCATTGCTCATGATGGAAAAGCAAAGTCATGATTATCCCAAACAAGAACGTCACACACGCCAAGGAGACTATCACTGAATATGAGCTCTCTTAAATTTCCTCATAGATCCTCCAAGTATAGAGCAGGATCTAATATTCAGGGACAACAACGTTTGTGTAACTTCATGAACAAACACAGTACCAACAGCAATACTACTCTCTAGGAACTGAACACAAGAAAAAGAATTTATGCAGCTCTGACAACTCCATCTCGCCTGCAGTTAAACTATTGAACTTGTGTGAAGTATAACAACAGAAGCTGACAAGCAGCCCAAGAATCCTTGATGAGATATTGACATCTTGACTCCTTTTTCGCGACAAAACCTCAAAGCAAAGTTGTCTCTGAACTACGCCGCCAACTAACACACTTACCCACATGTAAAAACGACGTCCCCCTCCTCCTAAAAGATGGCGCGCTACCGCCAGTAGCACCCAATAGTCTGGATTGTGCGTGTAACCATCCTCCTCCGGCAGCTGCAACAGCCACAAGACCACACCATCATGGCGCGGATGAGGCTGAATCCGTAAGCGCTTCACATATGTTCAACCACACCACAGCCAACTTCCTACTCGCAACTACCTGCTCAGAGTCGAAGATAGGTAATCATCCATAACGTCGTAAAACCATGACAGTCTTGCTGACCATCATATGATGCCGTCTTCAACCACTCATATACATACAATGACGCGGAACTGAATACTATGTGCTTTTGCGTAGCTGGCATAGGTAGATAACAACAGCCTCTTCTCCTTGCTGTGGCCCATGTCGCTTCATGCAAAATTATCAACTCATGATCTAACTCATCACCGAGAGCCCATTCGGCTCTTTGGTGTGTTTTCGGTAAAATGGAAGAAAAAACTAGAATGTGCACTCCCTCACTTTCCCGGTCCTCCCAGCTTCATACTCGATCCACCTGGCCACGCCCTTCTTCCCGCTCACGAGAATGCTACTCGGATTCATGACATGACAGCCCTCGTAGGTGACGCAAAATGGTGGAGCGGTCGTATCAACCAGCACCACCGCGGTCGGAAGCGGGTAGAGATACAGCGGAGAAGTGTAATCCCAATGAACCGGCCTGATCGACTGTCGGAATGGAGCCAGATAGCCCTGATCCAGAATCGTCTTGACCAGTTTTCTTGCCGCCAACACATCATACGGCACCGCATTCGGATCTGCCACCGGTGACGGTCGTTGCTCCTGCTGCTGCTCATCCCCATCCACCTCCATAGCATCCCCATTGTCCTGCGTTGCCCCAGCCATCTCCACATCCCCATCCCCCTCCGCCTCCTTCCCCTTCAACCTCACATTCGCCCTCCTCAGCCTAGCCGAGATGTCATCCCTAAACACCACCACCTCACGACCAGGCCCAAACAAACTCAACCGACTCGGATTACTAGTCCACACCGCCTCCCCCCCCTTCTTCTCCCCCGTCAATCCCGCCTCTTGGTTCGCCGCCGCAAACGTCCTCCTCACCCGGCTGGTGAACAACCCCGGAACCCCCCTTCTCGGCAGCGGCACCGCCGCCCCTCCCCCAAAAGCCGAAACCCACCCGTCGTTATCGCCAGGCACAAACACAAACGTAGCCGTGGTCAACAAGGTGGGAAAATCCGCCAGCGTCGACGCCAGCGCGTCAAAGTACTCCTTGTACTCTATACTCCCCGCCCCTCCCGTCCCCGTCGTAGCCCCCCCACCATGGCTGGCCATCACCCCGCAACTGGTGAAATTGCCGGTAATGATAAAGCTCATCGGTGTCTCCCCTTCCCCGTCGGTGGCATACAAACTGAGCACCTTTTTCAGGGCTTGCAAACTCCTCGGTTGGTCAAGGTTGAGTTCACCGAGTATCACGATCCGTGATCGTTGCTGGCCGGCGGGTTGCTGTCGTAGCAGCCGCTGTTCCAGTTTTCTCATCTTGCTGCCAATGGCGCGTTCACTCCCTACCCCGAGGAAATCAATCCATCCGAATCCACCCCCAATGGTATGCTCCTCGTCCCCAGCCATGCCATCCAGCCCGCTAACACCCAAGGTAGCGCGCCGTTTCTCACAGGGAGGCTGTCCGATGAAGAAACCTTGGAATCGGCCTCCTATCGTGCCTCCTACTCCCGAACTGCCAGACAGTCCCTTGCCGACGGATTCTTCTTCCTCTTCGTAGATGCCGTCTACCAGGACGATCATACCTGGTGTGAACCAGGCCGAGTCATGGGGGATTGCTGCTGCGTGAGAGAGGTCAAGGGTGATGGCTCCGGTTAGGTCGGATATGGCTAGGGCGCCGGTGGGGAGGACGATTAGCATGCCTAGCAGGAGGTGAGTGGTGCCATGGCGACCCAATAAGTTGGCGATGGGGGTGATTTTATGGGAGCGGAAAGAAGCGTTAGAGGATGAGCGGGAAAAGGAGGTGACGGCAGAGGTTTGGAAGGATTCATTCCTCAACAGACGTTGGTGGATGATGTGGTAACGGTTGCGGAAGCTGTCAGTTTTGTGAGAGGGCGGTGGGAGGAGGCTTGGAGGAGTTGTTATTCTGAATGATGTTAGGCCTAATGTTGAGATAGGGGGTAGAAAGGGGGTCACTCACCTTTCAAAGTGCTTCTTGGCCACGTTATACGTAAACCTCGGCTGCTCAAAAGCCGACACAACCTTCAACCACCTCCTTGCGTCTTTGCTTCCATCCTCATCAAGCTCATCATCTTCCCCGCCCAACCCGATACCCGACATACCAAAACTAGCCTGGCTGTCCTCTCTTGCCAAACTCGTAGGGCGCAGCCCCAACCTGGTCTTGGAGTGGTCTGCCTCGTCACTTGCTTCCAGCATCAAACTATTCTGCCGGCTGAGGCCACCTCTCTGACCATTACCTCCCGTGATAATCCTCCCACCGCTCATATTTCCCTCCAAATTCTTCAGTATATCCTTCAGCTCTGGGCTTGCGCCGTCAACAATCACCCCGCCATTCCTGTTCTTCCACCCCCTGGCTACCTCTTCCAGCACCTTCTCCGCTAGCCCTTCCTCTCGCCATCCTGACCCGCAGTGTCGGCCGATAAAAGAGGCTAGTTCTTGTAGAGCGGAGGATGTAAGAGTCAAATTGTGTTTCTTGGTAAAAGTTCTAAAGGCAAGGGGTCGGAGCGTAGGCGGGGGCAGGATAATAGGTAGGATTGCAGCTTTGGCGGGCGCTGGTGGTTGGAAGGGTCGCAAAGGGTGGGCGGGAGTTGCGAAAGCAGGCGAGGAAGACGGGATTGGGTTTTCTGCTGCTGCAACATTCTTCCGAGCACCGAAGAAAGGGGCGGGAGGAGGTTTTGGGCGTTTGCGCTTTTCGGGGCTGGTGTTTTCTTGGCTTTGTTTCTTTTTGAGGGACTTTGAGGGACTGGAGACGATCATCATTTTGTCGGTCTGTTTTGTATGTCTTCTATACTCGTACTATCGCAGGAAAATAGGTGTCTGGTATTTGCAGCAGTTCGGTCGGGTGGTGTGGTGCTCTGGTCTCCAGATACTGCCTGGCCACTGGAAACAAAAGTCAGGTCGGAGGACAGGGACAGGAAGCGCGTTAATTGACCCTCCAGGGTCGCGCGTCTCAGCGCGTTTTGCGGGGCACAATAGCAACAGGGGTCTATGAGCAGGGTTACGCTGCTGGCGGCAATCGGAGCTCGAGAAAGCTTCAGCACAATGCCGTCATTGTCACATTGCAAAGCTCGAGAGCTTCATTTTCAAAGACTATCTTTCAAGGCTTTAGGGATCTGATCAATTGCCCACCATGATACTGTCAACACGTCTCCAGGTCCCAAGACAGCTCCCCCGTGTGGTGCGGGGCATTTCAACCCTCCCTAACAACTCCAATATCGTACGCCTGAAATCCCACCATCTTTTTCATTAGGTAGGGCAGAGCTAACAAATCTCATAGAAAGTCTTCCCTCACCCAACTCAACCCTCTTCATATCTCCTCACATTGCTCTCCAGAGACCCACCAACACCTTCACTCGCCATTGGCACCACTACCGCTATCCCACCTACCCCCAGGTCCTTCCAGCACAATCCTAAATTTCTCACCGTATTGGATGAGGTCCTCACCAAGCATGCCATCAACGATCCCGGCTTGAAAGCTCAAGCTCAGGCTTTTGCCTCTCCTGGCGGATTTACCTTCATTCACAATCCAGGAAAAAAGGATAGGGGAGCTGGGGGTGGCGGTGGTGCGAGTGCCGAAGGCGGTGCTGGTGGAGCTGGAGTTGGTGGATGGGTGCATCTGAGCGATGCGAGAAATCCTCCTGATTTTGGGAGGATAGCTTGGTAGGTTCCGTTCTCGTTGGCATGACAGATATGTCGTGGAATTAACATGCCAGAACAGGCCAGAGGACATCTTTGGAAGTGTGGAGGTGAATGGGAAAGGTAAAATTGTTGGCAACTACCAGCCGAGTGGGACGTACCGAATTGTGACGAATCAGGGAATGTGAGTTTTCAGTTTTCCATCACTACACTCATTGGTAATTGTGGATGCTGATCAAATGAACGCAGTCTTGGGCTGAGTCCATTTCTTCACGAAAGGCTCCTAGCTAGGCTTCGCGAAGAAGAGAGCAAGGAGCAAAAATAATGATTCTCTGGAGGATGTTAGTTGTGTACGATAGGTTGGCATACAAATTTATACCCAGCTTTACTTCGAAGTTGATGCACATTTTGATGTTCATGGTTGAAAGAGTCCAAGCGATTATTACAAAGACTGGGATTTGTGGAGGACTCGTATGACCAGCCCATAAACCTATCGACAGAGCAAAGCAAAATAGTAGAATACAAATCATTATTGGCCGTTGACCCATACCATTTACCCCACCGTTTACCCACCAGAAGCATATCAGAAAGCAGATACATTGAAAGAATAGCACAACTGCTGCAGAGCCGTGCATCAATAGGACCAAAGACTATGCCGAGTCTCTACTCATTGTCCTCCTCGTCTTCATCCTCTTCATCGTCTTCCTCCTCCTCGCTCGTCACTTCAATGTTGGACTTTTTGGCCTTCTTGGATTCGGTCTTTGTGGCAGGTTTACTGCTACTGCCGCCAACTCCAGCAGGAACATCGTCCACCTCGACCCCCTGCGAGCGCAATTCCTCGTTCAATTGCGGGATGGCCTTGAGGAAGGCTTTGTATTGGTCAATAGAGAGCGAGATACCCTATCATTATGTCAGATGACTCTCATGGCAAAAACAAATTTGTGACGCCTACCTTTTTACCAGGCCTCAACTCGCCATCCGGTGTGGTGTAGTACTCTCGAAGATTAACCAGAGTGGCATTCTTGAACTTTGAAGCACCGACACGACGATTGTTGCCAAGCTATTGGACATGTTAGTCAAAATGAAACGGCCATATTGGAAGGAATATTAGTACAGACCTCCCAGTAAGCGTTGCCCTCTCCATCTGTGCCTTTGCCGCCGCTTGGAGTGGCCTTGGGACGCTCCTGCTTCTGCTTCTTGGCGGGAGCCGCCTTTCTCTGGGGAATGTCTTCCTCATCGCTCTCGATCTGAACGCGACCTCTCTTCTTGTACGACGACATGATTGCGAGTTGGTAACGCGATGTGTGACAGGAGATAAATAACTGACAAGGGAATGAATGGGTCAAGTAGTAAGTGAAGCGGTATGATTGATCAAGTTCCAATTTTGCGTTGGGTTGTGAGATAAGTTTTTTTCCAGAAGAACTGCGGGGCAGTGAAGAGAGGTATCTGGAGTGCTGAGCAGTGAGCTCTTCGTGAAATCAAATCTCTCACAAAACCAGGCTTCCAATAATTTCCCAACGCCTCAAACGCGAAGGCTTGATAGTGACGTGCCTTTCGGGCTGTGTGGTCTTGACGCGTTTTCACGTGAGAGGTACCTCGACTGTGATATTAATCGATGCCCCACTCAAGATTAGGGTCGCTTGGCAGATGCAGCACGGACTCTTGAGCGGGCACCGTTCGAGGTGTCAGGCGGTCTTGGCCGTCAGGAGTGGAAACCCGGAATGTTGAATTGCTGGGAAAGGCCCCTGATTGACTAAAAATATAGAAAGCTTGGGGCTTGTTTCGTCCTTCAACAGAAATCCGGGGGAGATTGGGAAGTGATCGAAATACCATTTACATATCTTTAATGCCTTCCTCAAGCTCAACTTAACCTGTTTTAATCCTGTTCGGTTTCCTCTATAAGCTTTGTATTCAGATTGCTTTCCCAACGGTGCGACAAAGCGCCGTCCCCCGCTCACTTCTCCCACCTTTAAATCGTTCGATCCTCCCTTGCGGTGAGCCGTGTCTCCCGTCGCGGTCGAAGCGAATCTTCAACAATTCTATATGAGCCAACAAGATGCGCCTAGCTCGGGCGCGACTCCCGATTGCACAATGGAAGATCGCAAAGATCTCGAACCCAGCGCGATAGCTGCGACCGCTGCGACCGAGAAACCGACACTTGACGAGAGCACCGTTGCAGCGATCGTTGCTGCTGCTGCTGCTGCTGACGACGCAGTTCCGAGCCCTCCGAATGCGCCGCCCACAGACGACAGTGTTTCGACCAAAGTGTTTCGCTTTCTGTCCACAGCAACGCCAGAAACACTAGGTGGTGTAGCGGTTGGTCTGGCTGCCACGACATACCTGGTCCTGGGGAGACTCGGTCTCGTGTTAATAGGGGCATTCGGCGGGATAGTTACTTTCATCCAATGGGAGCAACGGAACCCTGATGTGGCACGAATCGTCCGCGGTGAAAGAGGCATTGACGTCCTCGCACGACTGCTAGAGACCAAAAACAAGGTCATTCAAGAGAAGGAGGAGGGCGCCGACGCTCAGGATTGTGCCTTGATTCACGGATTTGAGGATCTGAGGCCCGAAACCCGTGAGGCCATGAATGAACTCGTCGATGCTGTTGTCGACAACTATGTAAAGTGGTGGTACTCGCCAATCGTGTCATCAGACAAGTTCTTCCCACTGGCTTGTCGGAAGACGCTTACAGCGTTCTTAACGTCGGCATCCAACCACCTTGCGAGAAAGCGACCGGCCGACGCGTTTCTTGACGTTCTGACAAACTCGTCCTCTATCGTGGTTGTGTTCTTTTCCGAACTATCCAATGCCTTTACAGAGTTGCCGGCCGACTCTAAGCTCTCAGCGGCGGATGCTGTCTACAATTACCTGGCTGCTCATCCAGACTCTAATCTGGCCAGCCTGTTGAACCAAAAGCAGCAGGCAAACAAGTTCCGAATGATTTCAGAAGACCTGCTCAACTTTTTGGAGCGTTCCTCGTACGAATGTGAACCGGCCAGAGTGTTTCTGAGGGAGATGCTGGCCGGTGTTGTTTTGGAAATGACACTTCAGTCTTTCTCAAAGCCTGAATTCATTAATTCCTGGATTGTTTATCTTCTAGAGGCCGGTGAGCCGGATCTCAATCAGGCTATCGACGTGGGAATGCAGACTGGTCCTGATGTGGCGTTTGCAGATATTGACGGCAACGTGGGCAACATCGGGCTCACTAAGGGCAATAGGAATTCCTTTGATCATGAGCGGGCGAGGCGCAAAGAATCCTTGGCGCACAAAAAGAAGCTCAGCAAAGCTGAGGAAGAGATGGAACTGGCCATGGAAGAAATGAAACGACTGAACCAGATGATTGCAGATGAGACTACGCTCTTGGCCGAGTCGTCTCAAAACGAACCGAAGCACCACGAAGCAACGACTACAAACGAAACCCAGAATGGGCAGGAAACCCAGGGGGATTCAGCATCCCAACCTAAGCCGGTTGATACCACGTCAAAAGATCTGTCAAAGAGCATCGGCAGCGATAGCTCTTCAAGCAAGAATGATGTTATCAATACGCCTGTAACACCTCTTTCTGCCACCACACCTTCGAGCCAAACGTCTCCTTCGGCATCGCAAAATCCATCAGCAGTGGCAGCGACAGCAGGCTTCACAAGCTTCGACCAGCTTGTGCCCCCAGCTCGAGAGGGATCGGAGGTTGACTCTATAGTAGAGGCTGCCAAACCACCATTGACGGTACACAACGCTAACATCACTGTTCTCGATGAGCCTGGTGACAAGCCGATCAAGTCTAAACCCGTCTGGGATTATCTAGTTCAGATCGAACCTGCCACCACACTCTATCCTGGCTGGATGATCATCAGAAAGTACAGCGACTTTGAGGTACTCCATGAAGTGTTGAGGCGGATTGCGACTATATCAGGTGCTGTCATCTTCTCACAGCAGCACAATGTGCTCCCTCCCTGGAAAAACCACACCCGCACTTCCTTGAGGATCGAACTAGAGCGCTATCTGAAAGACGCTTGCCAGCACCAGAGTTTGGCTGAAAGCGAGGGCTTGAGAAAGTTTATGGAGAGAGACAACGGGCATCTTCCCCAGCCAAAATCAGGCCTCCAGGCATTTGAAAAGATTGGCAAGAACGTGTTGGGGGTATTGGCGAGCGCACCCTTGGAGGGCTCCAAAGCTGTGATGGATGGCGTGACTGGAGTGTTGGGGAATATCGGACTGGGACCGCAGAAAAAGCCAGCGCCGGCCCCATCACCACCACCTTCCGCCCTACAGGACGTGACAGCGGCCAGTCGCCTTTCTATGTCAACCCTTTCTCGAAATGACAGTACTCTGTCGCTGAATCGGTTGACCAGCAAGACTCGTGACAGCATAGACAGCCAGCGCTCGTCGGTAGTGGCCACCCAGCCGCCCAAACTTCCCGCTATGGATCGTCGTCCTAGTTATAACTCTCAAGGTGATGCGGAACCTGAAGCCAGCTTGCGTCCATCAAGAGCGTCGGCCAGAAACAGCAGAGAGCAAAGCAGAACTTCTAGCCGAGCGCCTGCACGTTCACCTTCTATTCTCAGTTTCGATGGGTTCCGTCTTCCTCCCCCACCCGACATGATCACGGACGACTACGAATCCCCCATTAGCCCTCAAGGGCGCTTATCAGAGCATCTTACTCACCATTCCCGCTCGCTGACGATGCCCACCCTCAGCAGTCAGCGGATTAACGGCCCGCCATTGACAGGGAAGCAGCACACAAAGCTCTCTGAGCAAGAGACTAGGGTAGCAGTGGAGCTCATGTTTGCCGTCATCAACGAAATGTACACCCTCTCCTCGGCCTGGAACATTCGGAGAACACTCCTCGCGGCTGCCAAGTCATTTCTTCTCCGCCCCGGCAATCCCTCGCTGTTGTCAATCCAGACCTTGATTCAGCAGTCTGTCCTTGACGCCAATACGTCTGACGCCGGAATCGCCGCCCATTTGAAGAAGTTGAGGCAGAATGTAATGCCTACTGAAGAGGAGAAGAAGGAGTGGCCAGCAGAGATGACTGCCGAGGAAAAGGAAGCCTTGAGGGTCAAGGCAAGGAAGTTGCTGATCGAGAGTGGGGTACCGGCTGCCTTGATGGGAGTTATGGGACAGGCGGCGACGAGCGAGGCACTGGGACGGTTGTTTGACTGCTTACAGATCGAGGAAGTGGCAAGGGGATTAATGTTTGGAGTTGTGCTACAGGCTGTGAGGACTGTCACGCACTGAGGAAGTCATATGTACTTGTCAGGAACCAAGTGTACGAGTAATGTGGTGAAATGCTTGTTGATGTTTGAGATGCCGGGATAGGATTATCGGTTATAATTAATGTCAGATGATTGGTGGCGGGCTGGACGGAATGATTACTGGTTCTGATACCACCCTGAGAGTTATGGGATGAGAAATAACACACCTGTTGGTATGGGCTTGTGCCATCTTTTGTGTTTTGCTTATGAAAGTAGTTCTTTTAATACACATTTATCGGAGGTTTTGATTACAATTGAGTTTGACTTGGAAGCACGGGTGGTTTTGATGTGAAGTACAAATCTAGCTAGGTCCAAGACATGTGGCCCAAGCGTCGGCGTCTGTAACCGAGCTGCCCATAATGGCAACCTGGCCTTATGTAAGCATGCATTTCGATCACATCTACGACTACCTGCTCTTGTCGATGATCACCTGGCAGTCTCACTCACACGTCTGATGACACTGGTTCCATGTTTTTTTTTGAATCTCATAAAACGAAATCTCACACAATATCATCGGACTTCTCACTCGCTCAAATCCAACGGTGGAAGACAATGTTCTAAATTGCTCCTTAGCCGCTCGCATCTGGCATTCGCAGCGATCTTGGCTTACGGCATCACAAGCCTACAGCACCACATACAAACAGCGCTACAGAGTGAAATTCCAACATCATGAAATTCATCATCGCCGCGCCAGCGACTCTGGCGCTGGTCTACCGCGCCTACAGCAAGAACAGCCTCACTCCGTTAGGTATCTTCGCCGCAGCCCTCACCGCCATCGCTCACGCAGTCCACCCCTGGAACCTCCCCTTCGTTCTGCTAGTCGTCTTCTTCCTGGCAGGAACAAGAGCCACTCACGTATGTCTCACACCCTCCCCATCTCCCTACCTCATCACTGATCTTCCTCACAGGTAAAAGAAAACATCAAAGCAACCCTCACCCTCAAAGCAACCGGCTCCTCCCCCTCGGGCGGCGGCGAAGGGCCCCGTACCCACGTCCAGGTCTTCGCCAACTCTTTAACCGCTACCATCCTCACCCTCCTTCACGCGTATCAACTCCACGCAAGGAAACAAGCCCTTTTGTCCAACCCCTCCTCCCCGGACAACGGCACCCTCTGCTTCTCATGGAAAGGCGACCTCCTAGTCATCGGCATAATCGCAAACTACGCCTGCGTGGCAGCCGACACGTTCTCCTCCGAACTCGGGATCCTGTCAAAGTCCTCTCCAAGGCTGATCACAAGCTGGAATCTGAAAAAAGTGCCCCGGGGCACAAACGGGGGTGTCACCCTTGTAGGGTTGGGAGCGGGGTTGTTGGGAAGTATAATCATCGTCACCACCTCTGTCTTGTTCCTGCCGTTTTGCACCGCCGATTCAAAGACCTTACCCGGTGGAGGGCAGCCCTGGGATGTCAAGGAACGGCAAGCTCTCATTTTAGGGTTGACGGTCTCGGGTTTGCTGGGCAGTGTGATGGATTCTGTTCTTGGAGGCCTGTTCCAGAGGAGCGTCAAAGATGTTAGGAGCGGGAAGATTGTCGAGGGGGAGGGAGGGGAGAGGGTGTTGGTTGCTAGTCCGGTTGTTATCTCTGGTCATCATCACAAACCTGGGCAGGAGGAGGATGCGGGAGCGGAGATCAAGGCTAAGCTTCTTCGTGGCGAGGGGAAGGATGCGGTTGAGGAGACTGCGGGGTCTTCTGCCGTGGAGGAGGGGGATCATGTTGTGGATTTGAAGAAGAGGTATGACCCGAAGAATAAGCAGCGGAAGTCGAGTTTTGGGGATGAGAGGCCTTCTCGGGCGGTGGTTACTGGGTGGGACTTGCTTGATAATAACGATGTGAACTTTTTGATGGCGTTTGGGATGAGCTTTGGGGCGATGGCAGTGGCGGGGTGGTATTGGGGGGTTTCGCTTTGGACGATTGTCCCGGGAGGAGTCGCGGTTTAGTTCTTGATAGTCAAGACTTTGTGTTGGTTTGGAGTTCCAGCGGATAGCGATGATATAATGGCTGGTTGGTGGGGGAGGAATCTGATATACGTATGTTTTAATGATGATCAAGACCCAGGTCTTTGTGGGCTCCAAATATTGTCTTTATATGTAAAGGCTGACTGATTCCATCTGCCGCAACACAGATATTGTGTAAATTAGGAAGCCTGGCACATATCTGCCGTAGGCCATGCTTTGGTATATAATGGTATCTAAAACTCCTGGACTCCACGCCTCTTTCTATTACCCCTGAAAAAATCTTTCTGCCTTTCGACCCCTTGACAGGTTGTAATCCACAGTCTTTTCCGCTCTTCAAATGCGTGCAGTGGTAAGTAACTGTGAGCTAGGACTGCGCAGGAAATGAATTCCGGCATCGACCTAGCGAAATAAGAGAAGCAAACTCAGACAAGGAAAAAACATGCAAACACCCACAACAGCCATAATGCTCTCCTAACAAAACAGAAAAAAATGGAGAGAACAAGAACAACACCTCCGCTCAGCTCAGAATACCCCCAAAAGGTTTATACGTATCCAGATCTTTCAACAACTCGTCCACTACCCCTGGTAGATACCGGTCAAGGTGCTGCTTCTTGGCATCCACACTCAGCGTGTTCCCACTTTCACTCTTTGACCTTTGCCTGCCACCGCTAGCAAGCAGTTTGGACTTTCCTGGGCTACCTGGAATTAACTCTGGCCCCGCAATCACACTCGTTCTGTCTGGTTTGGGGATATTTGGTGTTTCTGGCGTCAGGTAAAAGTACAAGAATTCCGTGAGGCGGAACTTGACCTCTCTGCCGGTCTCACGGGACTTGAACAGGGAGGTTACGGTAAGTAGACCGTCAAGGGCTTCGAATACTCGAATATTTTGGGGCATGTCGAGAAGGGCAACGACAAGGGTGATTATTGTGGCGCATTGGATGGCAGGGGAGTTGATGGGTTCGAGAAGATCGAGGAGAAGCTGAAGATGAGGATACATGTTAGAACTGGCGGGGAAGCTAGAATGGCGGGCGTATCTTACGTTCATATGTACGCTGCGCTGAAAAAGCACCCTGCTTGGCGGGTGCAAAAGCAAGACGCCCTGGATGAGATCAAGCGCGTTGACTATCAACATGTCGTACGATCCATCTCCTCCTCGCACAACGAGCCAGTCGAGTGTGGTGAGAAGACGCTGCGCAACGTTCCATTCGAATCCCTCCTGGAGCTTGAAGAATTCTCGAAAAGCTGGATCAGGGGAGAGGTCTGCGAGCATTCGGCGCGGTGGTTGTTGTTGGTTTTCTCCTTGTTTCTTGGGGCTACCTTGGCCGGCAAGGCAGATCTGAGCAAGAAGGCCTTCGACCTGCCTTAGCCCCTTTTTGATTTTGGAACCATCGAAGGACGAGAGGTTATCGAAAGCGAGAGAGAGTAATGATTCCATCTTGTACTGCTAATCCTGGACTGTTGCGCTCGCGTGCTTCGTCGATTTGTTGCCTCGAGTATTGAGATTTCACAATGCGCATTCGCCACGTATAGTCGATAGTATAAGAGAAGTGCCACGGTTGGCGAGCTACACTCCTGAATCTGTATTGCTTGCGCACGAACTGCTCGGATGGTTGGTTTTCCTAGAGGTTGGACGCAGTATCGCGACAGGCGGTATAAGTGGGCGCGGTGATGGTTACGGGCCGGTTGTATACAGTCGAAGTAAGAACGCAAGCGGGTATCGACGGGAAAGGGAGAGAGGACGGTACGCAGAGAGTCTTCGGACGCAAAAGAGTGCCAGACTGACTCGAGATGCTCTGTCGCGCCGGTTGGACTTGAGCTTGGTCCAAACTGGCGGGATATCGAGTCCACTGTCGAACAATCAAGCATTGGGTGCCACAGCAACCGGCTGATAAGATAAGGACCTAGCTGCCCACCTGCCGAACAGGGATCACTCAACCTCAAACTGGGGAAGCGGGGCCGTGCGTTTTGTTTCAATGCTTGTGGAACCTCTTGAGCAACATTCCATCCAACACTGCATCAGACTTCCAGAACCAGACCCAAAGCATTCAAGTCCAGGGCATGGCACAAGAGTCCAAGGACGCATGGAAAAGGGATGGTACTGTGGTTACGTACAAAAGTTTTGCCCCCTTGTCAAGTACCGCCCAGGGCCTTGTTTTTTTGGCTAGGCCAACTTCGGCCAAAATTCTACCGCAATTTCCTCCAGACCAGTATTTTCCACCTTTCAACACCACTTAGCCAGCCAGCCAGCACCACAATGGCTCCCAATCGCCACCTTACTACTGAAGAGCGTCAACGAATTCGTACCCTTTATTTCGACGGCCACCTTAGCCAACCCCGAATTCAAGAAACCACTGGTTATACGAAATACCAAATCCGCCATGCGATACGAGCCCCGGCGGCCGAGGTCGCCCCACGATCTGGCCGACCACGCGTTATTACGGCCGATCAAGAGCTCGAGCTTATTCGGTATGTGTGTGAATCAAAGGCACACCGTCGGATGAGCTTCCTGGAGCTTTCTATTGCCCTTTTCAACTCCCTTCTTAACTGGATTACGATTCGCAACGCCCTTTACCGCCACGGATTTCGCCGTCGAGTTGCTCGGAAGAAGCCTCCTATTTCAGAAGCCAACCAGCAAAAGCGACTGGCCTGGGCTATAGAACATAAAGACTGGACTCTCGAACAATGGCGTACAATCCTTTGGAGTGACGAAACCTGGGTAGTTGGTGGTCCTCACCGTAAGCAGTATGTTACACGCCGAATCGACGAGGAATGGGACCCTACTTGTATCGTTGAAAAGCACCAGAGAAAAGGAGGGTGGATGTTCTGGGGCTGCTTTTACGGCTCAACTAAAGGCCCTGGTATCTTCTGGGAAAAGGAATGGGGATCGATCAATAAGTATTCTTACCGAAAGAATATCCTTCCTAACGTCCACAAATTTATTAACGATACCTTCGAGCAACACCATTTACAGCTTTCTTTTATGCAGGACGGCGCACCTGGCCATCGAGCGGCCGGTACGAAGAAGGATCTTGAGAATAGGAAGATTAGAGTAGTTGATTGGCCTCCTTTTTCCCCAGATTTAAACCCTATTGAATCCTGTTGGAATTGGATGAAGGATTATATTGAGGATAAATACGGCCTTGAGGAGAAGCCGTCGTACGCGAAGTTGAAGAGGTACGTGGAGGAGGCCTGGCAAGAGCTTCCGGAATCTTACCTTCAAACGCTGTTGGATTCGATGCCCAGTCGGTGTGAGGCAGTAATTGCAGCGAATGGTATGCATACAAAATACTAGCTATAGATATGGTGATTATTTTGTAGAATACAATCGTCAGGGTGGACCTTGACTAGCGCGAGTACTTGACAAGAAGGCAAAACTTACCCCTGCACCACAGTATGCAACTTTGAAACCAGATCCGCAAGGGAGGGAGTTTGTCTCCTTTTTTATGCCGCTTCCTCTGTTGGGCTTGCTGCTTTTGCCCCCCCTTCACAATGTCTATTTCTTTTTATTTTGACAGATACTCTAGAAGCTCAGTAGCGATCCCTTGATCAGAAATCTTGGATCTCTTCCATTCACTCTCAGTGCTTTGACGGTCAGCTCAGCTCATCAAAGTCTCCCGCTCCCACATCTCACCAACCAATGTCTGTGGCTTAGCTTTGGCCAAAGAACCAACCAACCGTCTGTTCCCTACCTCCAAAGGCTTTGTTGCAGTGGTAAATATTTATTACCACAAAGCACAGCCTACGGCGTGTAGCTATACCTGTCAGAGGAGCCGCTATTTCGCATCGAAAACGCCTGGAGGAGTGCTTGGGTTGACACAGAGACAGCAGCCCACGGACTCTGTACGTTTGGCATTTCGACGAAAGTCTATTCAATCCAATTAAATTCCTAATTTGTCTCAATTCTACCCGGTGAGCTTGCCGACAATTTCTTTCTCTTCTTGTCTATGATTCGGGATCTTCAACGAGCACATGCAAATTTACCCCACCATCATCTATCCCACCTCACAACCCAATAGTGCTGTCGCTGTCACCCAAGACATGGTGGAGAGAAAGGCCCGATTTGCAGCAGTGAATCATGTCATCTGTTTTACCTCCTCTGGTGATTTACAGATTTGCACGGGTTCCTTGCCATCATGTCTGCAGGAACTGGGCTGATGGCTGTGTACTGACATTGATAGTGGGGTAAACAGGAGAGCTGGAGCTAACCGTCAACTTGGCGATTAAACAGAGCTACACTGGAGCTCACAGATCGCATGTCGTCACCAACATCGAGTGCCGCCCACGATCCGAGATCGCGCCCCACCACGGTACCTTCCAAATCCCGATCGTTGGAAGCCTCGAGGACGCGGAGGCTGCTTTTTAAAAGCCCGCGCCGCAAGCATCAGGCAACGATGGACAGTTCCTCTCCTCTTCATCCCTCCTCGTTCAACAATCCCGCAGCTGCCCCTCATCCCCAGGCTCCTACACAGATACCCTTCCTGCAGTCATCTGCTGTCATCCCTCCTCGGACTACATCGTCAAACTTCGCTGCCTCGACAGTCCCACCAGCTTCAACAAAACCAAATTCTAAAACCATCCTAGAGAGCAGTTGGCTATCAGGCTCCGCTGCAAACCCTAGTCAGACAACACCTGGCCATACCCGCCATCAAAGTCGCAAACCTTCTGTTACTTCCAGTTCCTCGTTTCCCTCAAACGCAATGGCTCAACAACAACCGCCAGACCCCTCCCGTTTCGCAACCGAGGATTTCTTCCTCAACACCAAGAGGCTATGGACAGAGCAGAAGGACAAGGTCCTCACAGCCCCATATGATTACCTCAACGGCCACCCAGGCAAAGACTTTAGATCCGCCCTCGTCAACGCCTTTGACGCCTTTCTCGAAGTGCCAAAAGAGTCCAAAGAAACCATCACCAAGGTGGTTTCGATGCTTCACACAGCCTCCCTCCTGGTCGACGACGTAGAAGATAACTCTCTCCTCCGCCGCGGTCTCCCGGTGGCGCACACCATCTACGGTATTCCCCAAACAATCAACTCGTCCAACTACATCTACTTTGTTGCCCTCCAAGAGCTCCAGAAGCTCAAGAACCCAAAAGTAGTCAACATCTTTGCCGAAGAGCTCCTGAACCTCCACCGCGGCCAGGGAATGGACCTCTACTGGCGCGACACCCTCACCTGCCCCACCGAAGATGAGTACCTCGAGATGGTGGGCAACAAAACGGGCGGGTTATTCAGGCTGGGCATCAAGCTGATGCAAGCTGAATCCCGCAGCCTGACGGATTGCATCCCCCTTGTCAATGTTATTGGGTTGATCTTCCAGATCGCGGATGATTACCAGAATCTCTGGAGCAAGGAGTACACCGCCAACAAGGGCATGTGCGAGGACCTGACGGAAGGAAAGTTTTCGTTTCCGGTCATCCACAGCATCAGGAGCAATCCGTCTAATTCCCAGCTGCTGAATATCTTGAGGCAAAAGACTACGAATGAGGAGGTGAAGAGGTATGCGGTTTCGTATATGCAGAGCACGGGGAGCTTTGATTATACGAAGAAGGTGGTGCACACGCTGATTGAGAGGGCGAGGAGAATGGCAGATGAGCTGGATGAGGGGAAGGGGAGGGCGGTGTTGGTGCATAAGATTTTGGATAGGGTTGTTATTGATTGATCGCAATGGTTATCTTTTGAGCAGGATCTTTCTCTATTGTGTGGCGAGGAGTTGAGCGATGGGTTCTTTGTTTGAGAGCCAATACCTATGATACCAATGATGAAGTGGACAGAATAACCGGTATTGCAACTCAGGAAGGTGTAATAATCTTCAACTTGCACCTTTTAATATGGGGAATATGTTTAGGAGAATATGGTTAGGAGAATATGTTTAGGGGAATATGTTTAAGGAAATCTTTACCTAGCAGCGCATAAAGTTATGAAGCGTGTTGCGGGTTAGGGTTTCATTTTTTTCTTCCTTGGTATTCTCTATTTCTTTGTCCACCACGTGGACAGCAACACCAATTTCCAGCCACGCGGTAAACCTCAAGTTGCAACCAAAGCAGTGTAACCAGTCTCACAAACGGAAAGAAGCATGATCATAACTCATCCCATTCATAAACCTATCCTCTACCATTCTGTAGTTCTGTTAACCTAGCCAGTGACATTCTTCCTCCTCACCATCCTCACCCACCTCCTTCTCCTCCACTCCCCCCTCCGTCCCATCCCCTCCTCCCCCTCCTCCCAACTCAACCCCCCATTCTGCCTCATCGGGGTAGCCTGATTACCGCTCCTCACCGGCTCCTCCTCACTTTCCTCCCCAATCGTCCCCATCCCCCCACCACCACCAGCAGACTTTTCCGAAGAAGAGGCGATATCATAAACCCACCTCTCCCCCTCCGTCTCAATCTCCACGCCCGTAATAATCCTCTCCTCTACCCACTCCCTGCTCCACAGATCAAGCCCCCACTTCTTCTCTGACCACTCCCACCCTTCTGGCGGCTGGACATCCTCAAAGAATCTCGTTCCCTGCGGTCGCTGCCCAGAGATGCGCTGGGCTGATAAAGGGTCGTATGGCGAGGGGGAAAAAACCCATGGTTCCCACTCCCCTCCGGGGTAATGACTCAACCGTTGAAGTTCAAAGATTTCCACCTCGCGGGTTTCAGGGGCGGAGTCGAGGATTATTTCCTTCGATAGCAAAGCTGGGATATCAACAGTGGGGATTTTAACCTGGTGAGGGTCGGTCGGGGAAGAGAGCGTGGGATTGTGGTGAAGGTACTGCTCCGTGGCTTGAGCGACAAGCCTGTTGATTGTTGGGTGAGCAGACAATATGGCACCCCAGCCCCCCACAAGCATGAGGTAGCGCCAGGGGATGAGGTGGGCTGATATGAGCATTACTACCAGAGCGGCGAATAGCCCGACGAAAATAGCGGATGAGAGCGCCTCGTCGGAGAAGTTGGTTACGGGGACGATTAGAGTCACGACTTTGTCGTGGACGACGGAGAAATCCTCCATGACGTTTTGGAGGTCACCCATGTTGCGGAAGAAGTCCTTGGACAGCTCTTTGGTGGGCTGGAAGTTGCGAGCTGGTGCTAAAGGAGGGCCACGGGGGGAATAGCCTAGGTTTCGGACTTGGTGGTCGGGGTCGGAGGATGTTGACGGGGCAGGGTGACGGGCGATGAAGGAGGGGACGAAGATGAAGAAGACGGCTATCGCGAGGGGAAGTGCGAAGAGGAGGTAGGGGTCGAGGCAGACGAAGGTGTAGACTGCGAGGAGGGAGAGGGTGTGGGTTGGTTTGCGCCATGAAAGCACTTTCAGAGCTCGAGACTGGAATTTGAAAACCACACCAATGCGAGCGTTGAAGCGGCGGAAGTTGTTGGACATCAAAGGGATAGAGAATCCGGGTCGTTCGGCAAAGGCTGGAGGGTCGTCACCTCCCATGATGGAGGGTGTTTGTGTGTGACCATCTTCTGCTGGTATCACTTGTGATAGAAGTCTGTATGAAGTGGTTAGCATACCAGGGCTCGAAATTAGAAGAGCGGAAAAACACAAAAGACCTACTTCTCTAGTAGTTTGTCTTGTATACTTGCAGCCCGAAATATACCATTCTTCAAGCTTTTTACTTTCCTCGCCGAGCGAGATTGATGATCTTGTGGTTGTGATGGTTGGCTTTCATCACCTTCTGGCATGACGGATTCATCGGCGGCAGTCAATAACTGTTCTTCCAGTTCATCCACCATCGTGATAATAAGTCAAGGGAGATCGTGATGTTTATCGATGATTATGCGCTGAAGACCGGAGTGTTGATGATTCTGTCTCACTATTCTGTTCTTGGATGCATGTGAATCTCATGCATCACTCATGAGAGCCCCACAACCGGTGTTCGATGGTCAAGTCTGGATGAGAGCCGGTCCCAGGAGTCGAACTGCGCGATACGCAGGAGTCTCGATGAAGGAATGGGTTCAACGGTTGACGGGTGCTCGGTAGATGAGGCTGTTACAATTGTTGAAGGGGAGATGCCGATAAGATTCAGGTGGTGGCTGTAAGACTGAGGTTGCGTGTCTGGTGTCGTCACTGGTGAACCTCTCAAGCCCGGGCCACACAACGTCACATGCCACAAAACTGGGCCAAGACAAGCGCTACGTTTAGGTGCTGCAAAGTACAGCAGAAAGGACATTTGTACATAAATAATCAGCATCTTTGTTACATTTCAAGGAACGCCATATCGCACCATTCGGCCAACTTGCGTGGAATAAGAGTGTACGACCAAAACATGCAATTCCCAAAACCACGCGCTGAAGCACGCCCGTTCGTACCGGAGCGCCGGGTTCGGTGGCTACATCCGGGGCCGTCACTCCGCTAAAAGGTACGGAATTCGGCAGGCCATCTGCAGGGTCCCGCGAATCCTGCTTTTCCCCGCCGTGTCCGATGGCTTCTCCAAGAACGAGGAGCCTCACCATTGTTTGATGTTACATCAAGAACGTTGACAGGAGATGAGGCACGACATTTACTGATGATACTACGGCGTAGTATAGCGCGCCTGGCACGCGTTGTTGGCGCGTGGCCGAAATGTTCTCGAAAATCGAAATGAACTGGGAAATGCATCAATACTACTCCATACCACCGGTTGGTTCTGCATCCAAAAACAGTCAACAACCGAACATTATTATCTCCCCAGCCAGTTTCGATGAGACACGATCGGAAATTAGGGATATAACCCGCCCTTCTATCTGAAGAGCCAATGGCCACGACGGCTCGGGGCATTTCCGGGTCGATAGTCGAGATGCCCTTCAAGATGAAATCCATTGTCGCATAATAACGAGCCGGGATGAGGGGCCGGGTTGCTGAGGTCGATTCCTACACCGTCTTAATGCCCTCTGTTAAGCAAACAACAAACAACAGCCAGGTAGTCGACAACAAGCAAGGTCGTGCTGGTTGCTGTGTTGCTGATAGGCACGATGCGCCGATGGACCCATTCAGGCACATGTACAGATAGATCTAGGTATGTAGGGACACCGCTTCTTCGCAACACGATACCTGGAAGAGGGGTTTGCAGCAGCGCGGTGCACAGGTGGCAGGCTGGGAAGCTCTCGATGCTGGAAGGTGAGTGGTGCCAAGCAAGGACCGCAGAAGCCGAGCGGAACCCGCTGGCAGCAAAGACTGTGCTCGTCATTCCCGTTTCGAAGACAGCCAGGCAGAGTTTGCTGGCTTGGTGGTTTTTTTGGCGGTCCCCTCCTCACCGTCGACGAGTCGACGCCACTAACAGCTAGCATCTGGAGTGTTGCCGTGCCTTGAATGGGACAATACTGGCATTGTGCTGCAAGGGCAGCCTTCCCCTGCATGTTGCTCCCGTAGCGCCGTGCTAGAGGGCCGACAGTTTCGAGTTTGTTTTTGTTTCCTTTGCCCGATGCCTCTTTTGCATTGCTCTGCGACTCTGGAAATCTCCAAAAAAGATTCAGTCTCCTATTCATGGCCCCACATGCCCCTGGACGCACGTACCATGCTGAGCCGGACGGTTCGTTTGCAACTAAGTTAGGAGGAGCTGTCGTGATTCATATCCAATCAATCGAGTGACAGATATATGAGGAGCTGACATGCCCTGTGGTTGTTGTAATTCTATCATGTTTTGAGGCAGAAGAAGAGAAGAGCTGCAGAGAGAGGCAGAGAGAGGCAGAGAGAGGCAGAGAGAGGCAGAGAGAGGCAGAGAGAGGCAGAAATATAAGGGTTTCTTACCGTAAACTTTATGTGGTGGGACGGGGGCCAACGTCGGTGCAGGTGACGGGAGATGTGTTTGCACGATCCAGCCAGCCTCAGAGCAACCGATCGATGACCCTGCTCGGAGTGATCGAGAGAAGGAGTAGGTTGTCATTGTCCTTGATGAATGAAGGGAAGCCGTCTCCACGTGTTCCGAGGGCTCTGCAAAAGGTTCCAGAACATGTCGTGCTTCCTTTGACGTTGATGATATCGAGGTGCACCCTGCATACCGTTCCCTCGCCTCTTGCACTCCACATGCCGTTCAGCTGTTGCCCAGTGAAAAAAGCGTGCTGCTTGTCACGACCGCTGAAAGTTGCAGGACACCCCAGTGGGGCCCACCAAGCCCAGCCCAAGCCCACTGCCCGCTGCCACCTGCCACCAAAAACAGCCTGCAAAACAACTGTCTCTCTCGCCAGTGGTGTGTCCCAGACCAGAGAGAGTGGAGGCCAAGAGACCAGCAGCGTCCCTGCACCGCACCACAACTTGACCCTCACCTCTTCTTCCATCGTTCACTTCACGACGTACGCTCCCAGTGCGCGAGAAGCCACCCCCATTGTATTCTCGACACGCTCGATCCCACACTCTGCGCGCCCCCGGAATGAGGTAGCCTTTCGATTGTTCTCAGCTCCCTGACCGGACTGAGCCTTGGACGACGACGCTCCTAACCACTGGCGTTGATCCTTTGGGGGTTCGAATTCAATCTACGCTGCCGAAGCGTGAATTGCAGCCATCGCCTACAGACTGACGCCGGGACATTGGCCTCTCCCGAGCCCATCAGCCTCTGCCACATCATCATCCTCTTCAAGCACGACCCCCATTGATTTAAAGACTCTTGGCTGCTGCTGCGACGGAAAAAAACGAGTGGCGCGTTCTCGGCCGAACCTATGAATAGAGACCATCGCGCTCCGGCTGGGCCCAGACGGGAGAACCAGTCGCCCACCAGGTTGTGCTCCCCCTTTTGAACTGGCTGTGTCTTGAATTCGCTGCCTCGTGGGCATCGAAATATTCACTGGCACCTGCAAAAACTTTTGCGGCACATGGGACCGTTGCCTCATGCAGCATTGTGCTAACCCTTGCGATTGTTTTGTTATTCTAGGAGACCGCTGAACCTGAACCCCCCCAGTCCCACCAAGATCGGCTCCATCAGACGGCCCACCGTCGACGCTCCAATGCTCAGTGCCTCCTCTTCCAACAACCACTCCCTCTTCTCTTTCGGGGCTGGGAATGGCGTGTCCAATAACGTGACCGACATCGCCAACGCATCCTTCGAGTTTCTGCCCTCGGTCAGCTTCGACGACCTCCAGAGCAGCCTCGAGTCTGCCTCGACCGACTTCAAACTCACGCAATTTCCTTCACCGACTGGGCAGGGAACAATTTTGGGCGATCGAAGTGCGGGCAACAACCACAACATGGTCGAGCGCCTCGACATGACACGGCCAAGCGCCGCTGCCCATGCCTTGCCTCAGCAGCCTGCCATCACGCGTTCACGAACAGGCTCAATTCTACGAAGACCTAGCACGTCAAGCAGGCCGCCTCAACCTAGCACTGCTTCTACGCCATCTGGTAACCCAGGCGTGCCCAATGCTCCCACTGCTCCGGCTGTCATGCGTGCGCGCCGACAAAGTCATTATCCCCCAGTCTCCAACCCCAATCCCGCCAAGCCGCCACGGAAGTCAACTGGAGATGTTCAGCTGGGAGAGGCTCAGGTCAAAGAGGTTCAGACCCGAAAGCGGAGACCTAGTGCGGTGTCTTTATCAGACAGGCCCGTCCTCGAGGCTTCGAGAGCGTCGGTGGATGTTGCACCTCGATCTACGGTAGTGGAGAGCATGCGGCACCTGACAAGCTCGAGAGCATCCAAGGCAAGGTCTGTGCAGCCATTGCCCAGATCCAACCAGGATATGCTCACACCAGACACCACGCTCAAACCCGAACATACTCACATAGCCATGGCAATGCCTCGCTCCCCCAACAGAGTTGCCGCCAAGGGTTCTACTCCAAGCTCAGCGAAGCGGATATCTGTCATGCCAGGAACTCATCATGCCAGTCACGCCACTGGACTGGGTGCACGAACTATCAGCCCTACCGATACAAGACGAATGAAACGCCTATCTACGATGCACCACGTTCAACAGGGCCCTGTTGCTGGCGCTTCCGCCGCGCTGCCCCATCCACCACCTATTTCGGCCGACGGTCGCGCCTCGTCTCGATCCCCTTCTATGCTGCCTCGAAAGATCTCGACCCCTTCGTCTTCACGAACCACGCCCGACCACACCAGAAAGTCATACAGCTCAGGTCTGTCCGTCAACTCAAGCACCAGTCTCAACACGGTGCGGACGTCCACTGGCTCTATGCAGCAGCGAGCCATGCAAGGTGCAAACAGTTCGCGATTGCCTGCCCCCAAGGCGCTCAATCTTCACAATTCGGCGAGCTTTGACAGCAGCGAGGAAGTGCCACCGGTGCCCGCGATTCCAAAGGCGTACGAGTCTCCAAAGGAGGCGCATCTCGAAGCTGCTTCGTTTCTGGAGAAGAGGAGGTCCAACCTGGCCTATGATGCCAGCAGCATCCATAGCAATTCGACAGCGAGTATATCGGGCGCGCAGACGAGTGATTCAGCACCTGCCAAGCTTCAACGTAAGCCAAGTAACAGGAAGACAGTACACACCTCGAAGCTGGATCTCGAGAAGAATCCTGCGGCAGCTCAGTCGAAGAAGAGCTTGCAACCGCTGCGGTTGCCGCCCATCACCCTTGGTCCCCTCAGCACCCCAACCGCGGCCAAGATTGCTGCTCTTCAAACTCATGGTGACAGAAATCTCTCCCCGCCCCCATCAAGGCAGATCCCAAAAACGCCGACGACTCCCATGACGGCATCGAAGGGCACATTTTTTGGAAGAATACGGCCTGAAGACAGGGCCGATATACAGCATCTCAGGAGCAGCGCGTCGGTGCAGAGGCTCCATCGTGAAAGTCCTGCCACTACGGCAGAGCCACCCACCAGTTCTACTGAGTCCTTTGCCGGTGTGAAGAATGGAACCGCCAGATCAGGGCCGTCGCCTTTCTTGAGCCAGTCGGTGCCGAAAGGAGGGAACTTCGAGACTACTTTGTTCAAAAGGTCAAAAACTGGCGGGGATTTCACCCAGCCTTTGGATGCAGCAGCAGACGTGCCAGTTCAACACAACAAGCCCTCGGGGCCCCGAGCGCAAAAGTCTGTCGTGACACGGCCTGCAGGTGGAAATTCCCCGCCACCGCGTCCCAGTCCGGAGGAGCCGCCCACTCCTTCTTCCATGAGCTCTCTCAGGCGCAAATTGAGCTTGTCCTGGAAGAGAAGCGCCTCCAAAGCCAGCGGAAGCCAAGGACATCACGGAGAGCAAAACGCCGTCAAGCATGATTCAATGCCACCGCCGAGGATTCCTGTCTCGGCAACTCTGAACAACCTTCCCACCGGCAAGCCTCCAAGTCCCACTCCGTCCACGAAATCCAATGGCAATGGGACATATCTGGAGTCACGAAGACGGAAGAGCTCGGCCTCCAGCTTGAATGCGGTGCTTTCTGGGGAACGAAATCGCGGTGATACCGGTACAGCAGCTAAGAAGGATTCGACCCTGGGAACAGTGAACGAGCGTGCCACGGTTCCCCACAACTCGTCTGTGGTGCAAAGGATACTGAAACCTAAGGGCTCTACGGCAACTCTTCGACACCACGACGTTTGGAATTCGGAACTCGACAAGGACGATTTGATTGCAGAAGACGAGATGAGGAAGCTTGGTTCACGGCGTAAGGATACTGAGCTGGCAGCCAGAACTTTGGATGCTCTCCGCAAACGTGCCTCGGCCAAGGAGCGCGTCAGCCCTCAAGAAGCCATCAGAATTGCAGTTCTCAATATCTACGAACGGGGAGAGATTGTGGACTATAAGGACATCTACTTTTGCGGCACACAAAACGCGGCAAAGGTTGTGGGTGATGTTCAGTCGGAGAGTCCCAATTTCGGCTACGACGATGAGCGCGGTGACTACAGCATCGTACCCGGTGACCATCTTGCGTATCGCTATGAAATCATAGACGTGCTCGGAAAAGGAAGTTTCGGTCAGGTGGTACGGTGTATCGACCATAAGACTGGCGTTCTCGTGGCCGTCAAAATCATCCGCAACAAGAAAAGGTTCCATCAGCAAGCCCTGGTTGAGGTCAATATTTTACAGAAACTCCGCGAATGGGTGAGTGCCTTTCCTGGGGATACGTGCCTGGCGCCCGAGCTCTAACATGACTTGCAGGATCCCAAAAACAAACACAGCATGGTCAACTTTACGCACAGCTTTTACTTCCGAGGACATCTTTGCATCTCCACCGAACTATTGGACATGAACCTCTACGAATTCATCAAATCGAACGCTTTCCGGGGTTTCTCACTGAAGCTGATCCGCAGATTTACCAAGCAGATGCTGAGCTCGCTCAACCTACTAAAGCAGCACAAGGTTATCCACTGCGACTTGAAGCCCGAAAATATTCTCTTGCGCCACCCTCTTCACTCGGAGATCAAGGTTATTGATTTCGGTTCGAGTTGTTTTGAAACGGAAAAGGTGTACACGTACATTCAGTCCCGGTTCTACCGTTCCCCCGAAGTTATCCTTGGTATGCAGTACGGTCTGCCCATCGACATGTGGTCTCTGGGTTGCATTCTCGCCGAGCTCTATACGGGTGTGCCAATTTTCCCTGGCGAGAACGAGCAGGAGCAGCTGGCCTGTATTATGGAAGTGTTTGGCCCACCGGAAAAGCATCTCATCGAGAAGTCGACACGTAAGAAGTTGTTTTTCGACAGCATGGGCAAACCTCGCCTCACCGTCTCCTCAAAGGGCCGTCGCAGACGCCCATCCTCAAAAACACTACAACAAGTGCTCAAGTGCGACGATGAAGCATTTTTGGACTTTATCGCACGCTGCCTCCGCTGGGATCCCGACCGCCGCATGAAGCCTGAAGAGGCGATTCGCCACGAGTTCATCACTGGCCAGAAGACATCTGTCCCCATCAGAATGCGCGAAGGGTCCCCCAGCAAGCGTACCAATAGCATCTCGGCCCCCAGACCCCTTCCCGAGCCTCCAGCAGCCGTGAGGGCCGCTACTATGCGAGCGCGGGAGGCTTCCGGTCCCAACAACGGGTCGGTCGGTACGAAAACCGGAAGCATGCCAACAGCCACGGCCCGTAGGACCTCCAACATGAGCACCGCATCTAGCATGAATGGCAGTATCTCCAGTGTGAAGCGTACGAGTAACGGAACCACAACGACTTATACCAACGGCAATGGCACCATCGGCCCCAGCAGTTTACCTAGAGCATCTCTGCGCAGCGTGAGTGGTGGGGTTGGGCCTGTGGGCCTGTCCAACAACTCCAAAACAGACCTTGCCGCAGCAGGTGCAAACGCAGCCATGAGTCGCCGCGCATAGGAGGGACGGGCCTAGGAGGAGCGGACCGCACGAAGATCGAGGGTACAGCAGCGCTCTCGCAAGACTCAGTAACGATGTCAAATACGCAACCTTGGAAACAGGCCAAGCACTTTATTCCTTTCGTATGGCGGTATCGGTTATCAAAAATATGGGTAGACTACTGGTCTTGGAGACGACTTGGGGTAAGGTTGGGATGGTAACGACGGACGGGATTCAAAAGTTGTGGTGTTCAGACATGATGGTAGTTGCAAGTGTTTTTTGGCCTCTCTGGACACTTTTCCCAGCGGCATGATTATGCGGGAGGGGCCGCAGAAAAAGTGATGATACCAAATGTTTATCCTTTTATTTATTCTGTCTCTCTTTTGTTCATTTTGCATGGCATTGCGCGCGCGGTTGTGGGTTGGTGTTGCGCAGACTACTTACTACATTTTTTTTTGGTTGGGTTGGGGAAGGGTTTGTGATGAATGAAATGGCGATTAATTGATAAGGTGGGCGCGCGCGCGCGTGTGTGTGTGTGTGTGTGTGTGTGTGTGTGTGTGTGTGTGTGTGTGTGTGTGTGTGTGTGTGGATGGATGATGGATAGGGAAGATGAGAGAGCTTAGAAGAAGAGAGTGCATGGAGAGAAGAAAAAGTCAGAGATACAAAAACCTGTCTTGGGGTCACTAAAACCAACGAGTTCCGTTCCTTGATATTATCAGTGCTGAGATGGGGAGAGAATGGGGGTTTGAAGAGAGGTTACATTACATTATGATACATATGGCATGGCGTGGATGGATGGCAAGGCGTTGTTAAGCTAGGCTAGGGTGGGTTATCGAAGTACAATATACATTGTCGATGGGGGGATTCGTGATCCGTTGCTTTGTGCGTGGTTGTGGGTAGTGTGGTGTAAACATACTTGCCCTTTTTATTTCAAGCATACGCAGTCTCGTCGTACCATGTTGGACAACAACATTTTGGGGTACAGTCTATGTCTTTTGCGAGGCAACACGCACGACGTCAAAGATGTCAACTGTTGGATTCCATCCTACTATTAATCACCCGACTCACTGTCTTACAACGTTACAGAAAACACACTTGGTCACGATGATGATGCTTCGACCACTTTACTTCTCCCCCTCGATCCCCATACCCACCCAGCCTGTTGGAAACGTATCACCTTTTGAGGGCAACAAAATCACCCAGGGCGCAAAAGGCTTAATCAAGTAAGCAAGTAACGGCTGATTCGCAGGATTTTGAATCTGAAGAAGAGAAAGTCGCTTGCCCCTTGCTGCTTGTAACAGACATAACCTCCTCGGGTTTATGGGCATTGGTGGTAGATAAACCAAAAGTATGGAGAGATATAAAAAAGTTCTGTGACATGGAAGAAAAAACCCCAAAAAAAAGCAAAGCTCACCGGCCAACCCGCAGGGTGACCAGTTACGAAAGCCGTTTCGGGGTCAAACGGCTTTGCTTCGGAGGGCACTCGAACTGGGGCTGTCCGAAACCCCATGGGGGGGATATGAGTGGGCGCCAGCCAGCCAGCCCACTTGACCATTTGGCCAGTCGGATAGTGGGCTGCTGTTGGAAGGTAGGTGTGGGAGGTGGTATATGTACTATGGGAAGGAGCGAGTGGGAAGGAGCGGGTGGGAAGAGCTAATGAAAAGATGCAATGGGAAAGAGCAAGCCGGAGTTAAGAATCGGGCAGGTGTGGGGAACGATGAGAGAGAAAGGGACGGCGGGATCACGAAAATCCAGGTCAACTTGGAAGATAAGCTCGCCCGTGCTAGTCGGAATGGAGATAAATTTTGGTGGACTGGAATCCAGCGCCAGCTCTGGCTGGGGCCGGTGGACTGGACGACCCAGAATAGCGGCAGAATGGGCAACGTAACGCGCGATGCTGGCGGTTAGGAGACTTAAGAGGCTGCCTTGCTGTCATCCATTTGGTCAGTTCAGTTGATGAAATGTTGTCGCTCCCCTATCTTGGACCGCATTCTTGTCCTTTGCTATGCCGAACATTTGGGCTGGCACTTCTTCGTCTCATTGTGTGTTCTTGGAACCAGACATCCCCCTTGAGGTTGATAATGAGTTGGTTGATGACACCGCCAAAGTGAAACCCAACAGCAGTGGAACTGAGAAAGCTGTGAACCAAAACCATGTGTTGCCCTTGATCATGCGCTATTGTTGAGGCAGCCCACAATATTTAGGAAGCTGATCTTAACCAAAATCCCGAGTCCCCTTTCATTGACTCCTCATCATTGTTGCTCTCGTCCTGACTCGGCCTTCCTTTTTGTTTTTCATATGGGATCTCTTAAACAGGCTATGAACATTCGGTAAGGAAGTGGATGCGGCGGCTGTTGAGCCAGGGACGGCCAAAGCCGACAAGAAAGCACAGCAGCTGAATAGAGGTTTTCGTCATGGCCATCAATTTTGCGCCTTAGCCATGCCACAGAAGAAATACAGCATGTAGACCTTCAGCTCTTTTTGAGCGGGTTGCGGAGGATGTCATGGCCAATGCAGAGAGTGCCTGTCTCATGACTGAAGTATGGAATTGGGAAGGCCGCTTTGTCATGAGAGCGTTGTTGCGAGTTTGGAGCCGCTCTTCCACACGAGTGCTTCAGCTGATTGGGAGCGCCATGTAAAATATGTCTAGCAAGATGAGATCGTCTTTGGAAGAAAGTAAAAAGGTACATAACGGTATATCTGTGAAGAGCGTCGGAAGTAATCAACAAATCACCAAATCATGAAAACATGGTACTGTGAACACCAGCGGAGGCGTCCACACCCCAAGTTGTTCAAATAACAATATACTGTACAGTACAACCAGCAGAAAACTCCCAACCATGCGCCAGAAACACCACTCCATGCCATGCCCACCCAGAAATAGTACATCCAGCAACAAAAGCTCCCCAACCCAACCCATCCTATCCATGTCCCATCCAACTCCAAACTCCCGAAAAAGTCTCTACCAATTCTTAAATAGTGAAGGCCCATACGGCACGTTGAAATCGCAATGGTACAAATCCACACTCCGCTGCACCGCCAACAGACACGCCTCATCCCACTCGTACCCCGTCCTGAGCGAGTCCTGAAAGATCTTCTTCACCCTTGGGTGCAAGATCAGCTTCCCGATGAAGGGCATCACCCCTTCACCAGGCCAGTCAGGATATACCGACACCGAGTTCAGCGCCGGGAACTTGTCAAGCCAGTCCAAAAACGGCTGCCCGTTGAACCTTTGGCCGTACTGGAAGGCGAAGCCGGCGTAGTTGAAGAAGTAAAGCCCAAGGTGCTCTATCTTCTCCGACTCCATCCAAACAAACGCCTCCGCCGGCACAACGATGCTCTCGAGCCCCACGACTGGGCACCAGAGGTGGCGCTGGCGAACCGCCCACCTCTGCTCGACCGCAAGCTCGAGCACCCGCAAACTTCCTTCGCGCGCGGCCGGCACCGCAAGTAAGCGCCCCAGAAGTCCCACATCGATCGCACAGCGCGACCGGAACAGCTCCAAGTTCGGCAACTTTGGGAGCTTGCCTTCGTCAAACTCCAAACCCATCTCCTGGGAGTGGAGAGGGTGTCTCGCCTCAGCCCCGTCCATGACGGTGAATAGGTAATTGTGGGCAATTACCGGGTTCATCGTCATGATCTCGATCTTTTCCATGCTCTCCGTCATGGGGGGAAAGATGCGAGGCAGGAGAATGGTCCCCTGGGTGTGGGCTTCGATGCCCATTGCCGGACCGAACGAAGCGTGCTTGAGCTGTCGCCAGCCCTGGGGAGTGGGTTGACCGGGCGTCCACTCGAGCTGGAAGCCGTTCAAGCAGAACGCTTCCAGATTCGGCGTGGACGCCACGATCTCTGGCATTCGGAGCACGTGCTCCTCGGTGCTGGTGCCGGCCATGTCGATGTCGACCCATAGGCTCCGGAGCTTTGGCATCCTCACGGCCTCGATCGCCCGCTCAGGCTTGCTGCCAGTCTGGACGAGGTCTAGAACCTCAAGCGTGTCCTTTGACAAATCAAGAAGTTGGACCAACAATGAGACTGGGGCCTGGTAGCCATCCAGTGAAAGTTGGGCCAATCCAAGCTTTTGACTAGGACTAGGAGCTGGGTCCAACTCCTGGATGGTGTCGCAGCGGTGCGGGGCCGCAGTTTTGATGATGAGGCATTGAAGGTTGGGAAGGCCAAAGAGAAGCATGTAAAGACGCTTGGCAGAGAGCCCAAAGCCTGATACTTCGTCTATGGTCAAGCTCTTCACTCCCTGGTGCCCCCTCAACCATGTGGCAAAAACACGGTTGCCAGGATTGCGCGGCTGGGCAAGACGAACTTCTTCCCAGAGCAACGTATCGTGCTTAATGATACGGTTCCATTTTTTGCTGACTCTGAGGGAGCGGATGACGTCGGAGGTGTCCAGGTGAGAGAAGATCTGACGGAGGAGTTCGAGTGGCAGTTTGGCTGCAGGGTCGCGAAGAGAGTCTTGGAGCTTCAGGCTGTGAGCCATGCGCATGAGAATCTGGTCGTATTCGTCATGGGCGTCATTGCGGTACTTTTCGGAGGTATTGTTCAGGCCGGCCTGAACAAGTTTCTTCATGAAAATATATAGGCGGGCGGTGGTGAGCCCAGCATCCTTCTCGAGGGTTGCGAGTGTTCTCGCAACCTTTGGATTGACTCTCTTGGCTTTCTTTCCCTCTTTTTCGAGCTTAAGGATGAGCCGGATGGTCTTTGCGACGCGGCAATAGCCCTTTGACAGTTGTTAGTGATTTTTCCTGCAACTGGTCGACAAAAGAGACTTACAGCAGCAGAGATTGGGCGAAGGCGAATTATTCCGAGACCGGTCGTGATGGCAGAAACATAATGACCCTCAGTCTCCAAGGATTCGGTGAGGAGATCTATTGCCTCGAGATGTTTGGGCGATGAACAAGAAGGCCAAGCAAAACCGCAAGAACAAGGACTGTTCGCAACATCGTAGATTGCGTCGAGATCCTTACTCCGGACGCCATTGACGAATTGCTTCAGGTGGCAAGACTTGTCTTTGCCATGCCGGACTTGCTTTGTGTTGCCCTTGTTGCAGCTACAAAAATCAATGGCCTGTTGATTGTTAGAAGGGAGTCTTGAATGAGATACCGATCGTGTGCGAAGTGAACCTACCGCGAGGATATCACCGATGGCTTCCTTGATCTCTTTCTTGGAGATAGAGGCACGTGCCTTGTTCAAGAGGTTCTCGATAGTCTGTTCGGACTGAGTCGTGCCGGAGGAACCAAAAGTCTCGGCCATCGTGAAGACGGACGTCTGTGGAGCTGTGATGTTGGGAAAGAAAGTAGATTCCGAGAGAGAAAGCAAATTCCGAGAGAAAAAACCAGGCAGTGTATATATGGCCGGTCGAAATGTGGCAGCTGACCTCGACTTCAGACGAAGGATTTGGTGAGAAGGAACGATAAGACCAAAGAAAAGATTCTTCGCAAGATTTCAAGAAGGCTAGCGGCTGTTAACCCCTATCTCACAAGAGCACGCCTCTTTCGAACTTGGGCCGCCGTTATTCGAATTGCTGAAGCCTTCCCCAGAGGTTTGGAGGTGAAGAAGATAGATAAAACCGTCTTTTGTGCCCTGATATTCGTGGTGAGAGGAGGTGACGAAGTCGGAGTTGTGACAGCGAGTTGAGTCTTCTCAGCCCATGACCAATGACAATATCAGTTGTTGTTTACTTGGTGAGCCAAGGGTCGTGCAAAGTTGTGCAAACAGGTTGTCGATCCTTTCTTCAGGGGCTCAATGCCTAGGCTCACACGTCATATTGTGGCTTTCGTTCGATGTTCAACAAGCAGAGTTTTCATTCACAACAATAAAAACAAGGAATCGTTATCGTGGCCACAGGTCGTTCTTTTCTTTGGCAGCGACTTACACTGATAGATACCACTTTACGCGCTTGAGACGCGTCTCCGATAGCCGATAGATGATAAGGCTATATCGGGTCTTGTATGTAGTACCCCGATAGATCGATATCATGCCCGATACTCTCATATCGGCCGAGCTCCCTCAACCCTTGCCCACAGACCGTGGAAGCTCATCCTCCTCCTATCATCAACCCTGTCGTTGATCCCTAACTCTACTTTGACGTCACTCTCAGCCCTACCCCTATCTATCTCCATCTCCATCTCCGACCCGGCTCCGAAAATCACTGCCGAGCAAATCCGGAGCCGTAAGCCGGTTACACACCTCCGTGCCGTCTCCGCCGTGTAACCCTCAACCCACATGGCCATCTCGACTCTTCTTTGACTTCAACATTCCCAAACGGCCGGTGACCTCCGAGTTCAAAACGGCTTCGCCACAGTATCACAGCTCTCAGCACCGGAACCCAGACTTGATTCCCCACTCATTCAGAATACGAGACTCAATGAATATATCCAACGGCGTGAAAATACTACTCTACCTTACCCATCTTCTTGTCAACAGTCCAGAAGGGGATAGTCAGCAACTTACACTTGCGTAGCGTACTTCGTCACCACGATTGGGGGCGTGTTGGTGATAGAAGCTCCCTTCCAACAAATCCAACTCTAACCATCCAACCACAGCACCAAGCCGGAGATGCCTTCGCGGCATTTCCCCCCCCTCCTCACTTGTAACAGTTCGGAAAGAAAGGATTCATGACCATCTCTGGTGTAACCCATTCCACGTGTCTCCTCCCCCGTGCCGCCCAACTATCTCACGCCAATCTCAACGCCACGAAAGCCACATCTCTCTTACCCCTCTCATCCGCAATACCACATTATCACAGTCTCACCGAACACATCCATTCTTTACCTTCTAGAATAGTTCCAGAAACCTGCATCTCACCGGCACAACAAGAAACTGCAACGGTATTCTCAGCTTACACAAAACCCCCATCCATCCGGTTCCCACGGATCTGGAAAACAGCTTAATTCGGGCAATTCTTTACTGCGTGTTTCATCTCACCACCCGCATATCTTGAAACAAACCACACAGCCCGCCCTTCCATGCACCCTTCCACGCGGCTTCTCTTGCATATGCCTAGACTTTCGATTTACCCCCCGCCACACTACCCAACCCAGTCATGCATGCTCACATTTTTTGACTACTGTAGGAAAATGGCACACACACACATTATCAACAACAACAGCAACAATGACGTTAAACTTTCTTGTTGGTTTTGACAGCGCATTAGTCTGCAGTAGCGCATATGGTTGGGTACGTACACTGTTCCACGGTAGGAGTTGAAGCACCCTTAAGCGCCAGCCTCACCGTCACACGTATCGATCTTGAAGGATCAGAAACAACCTGGAGCTCCACGCGGCAACTCGAGACCCATAGAATAACGGCAGTTAGATACACCAAAAAACCTAGCAACGGCGCGGCCGGCACCTACTTGCCCGAATCTCGTCGCCATACCAGGTAGGTAGACAGGATCCCAATCCTCTTTCCATCTATCTGTTGGCTGCACCACACGGCAATTGAAATCCATCCCCATCAACCTCAAACCCCCATCTGGAACAAGAATGTGGAATTTGACGAAAGCACGGCACGGCCGCCACCGGTTCTCCAGAAGAAGGATCGTATCCTCTCTCTGTGGCTTGACGCCCGCCCGTCCGGCACAAGGGTTGACGAAATCACATCAACTTCCGAGTGCCGCCTCTCACTCATCAGAGCAGCAGCAGTTGCAAGTTCGTTTCATGAACAAACTTCTCGTTTCATCATCCCCCTCTTCCCACAGTGGGGTCGAGAGAGACAAATCTGAGGTTGAACAAACTTCCATGGCGTTCATCCCAAACAGGTGATGTCATCTTCCCTAGATACTGTCATCACCGTCGTGATTCACATGCTGTATGTAATCATCCCACATCACCAATTTGACAAATCTCTCCCTACCTGCACATGACAATACTTCATCTCGGCTCCCCTTGACAAATCCGAGTTGTCACTATCTCCCCCCCCTTTAATTTTTCCTGACCTCAAAACTTCAGAGTAGTATTCCAAAGCCTCCTCCCTACTACTCAGCCTAGCCACCAAAAAACCCAGGCCCATCCGGTCCGGTCAACGGGTCGGGCAGGTCTCGTTACCCGAAAGCGAGAGGAGAGCAGCAACCCGGCCGGGATTGCCATCATCTCCGATACTCATAGTCAAAAGCAAACGATTGTGTCGTAGTGGATCAAGTCATATCGGCGAACAGCGAAAACTGCATGTGTGACTGAAAAAATGTGTCTCTGCATAGCCTCTGTACTCGAACTCGGCAGCAATTGTACAATTTCAAATAAACCTTTTTGTAATCGTAATCTGTCATCATTGCATGTCTTGCCAGCCTGTAGAATTAATGTACTGGGCCTTTCTGTGCTTGGCTTATTCCTTCGGTCAAGTGTCCAGTATTAGCCAACCTGAGTCCAAACTAGAAAAAGACTCCCTGTACCGGACTTCATCAACCCCGCCATACCGAGCAAACGTCATATGCAGAAAGCCATAGCATTGCAGAGAATACGAAGGAAAAGAGAAATCGCAATACGGGAACGCGGCTGCTTCCTCCACGCTTTGTCAGAGGAAGATCATGTGCTGTTTAGCGCAAGTTGTCATCTTTTTTGTAGAGGAGGGTAACACAACCGCAATGAGTGGTGTGTGCGTGTAAGTGTGCGAGTGGAACTCGCTCCGTTTTGAAGATGCAAATGTACTGGTACATGAAGAGGGGAGGGGGACCACACCCATCAAGTCGTTGTGTTCCCAAATCAATCCAAAAAGAAAATTACCTTTCTGGGGGGGAAAAAAGGGCAGGATTAGGATAAAAAAGCTGATTTGCCCGAGTAAACCCATGCAAGGGGAAAGAAATCAAGAGGAACACCACTGCGGCCGCGGCTGCGGCTGCGGCGGGTATTCGATGGGTCGCTCAGAAGGGGAAAAAAGAGGGGGGAAGCTTCATAACGCTGTATGCGGATAGGCTCGCTCGTTTCTCCATTTTCATCCCATCTTTTTGCTGTATGGGATATGCACGTCGCAACTCTCGGGTCGTCTCGGCTGTGGGATTGCGGCGCTGAGGGGTGGTCTCGAGAGAGAGGAAAAGCAGTGGCAGCCTGGGCTTGACGCAAGACGCAAGGTACGGTGCACTGCAGCGCAACCCATCGCCCATCCAGCCGGTAAAAATACTACTAAAAGGCTCCCAGCTAGCAGAAGCTTCTATGCATGACCCGGTTTTCTCACCCTTCGGCACTTTTGGTGACGTCGGGGGGTACTATATGATATTTCTGTCAGAAAGCTGTCAGACTGCCACCCATCCAATCCGCCCCAAAACGGTTGTGGTTGAGTAGATTATGCGGGAGGAGTGTGGGTGGTGTGGGGTTGCCCAGCAAATACTCATCGGTAAATAGCATAGAAAGGCTTGGAAACAGCCATCATGCTTTGTGTGATGATGATCATAAGTCCTATGATCTTCGAAGAGGTGGTGTGGGTAAGGGTGGTGGGCAGCTGAGAAGGGGTGGCGGGTAGGTTCACCAGGGCCGCCAGAAATGGTCGATTAGCGCATGCACACTCGGTCGATCAAAACCAGCCCGTCGGGCCACAATTCAAGGGCTGGAGCGCATTGACGATGTCATGGCAGGACTGGACAGGGGAAAAACGCCTGCGGGAGAGGCGAGAGATTCACCGTTGCTCGGTGGGCAACCCCGGGGCCGATACTCGGGTTGGATGGGCTAACAGCTCCTCCAAGCCTCCTTCTCGTTAATGCTGGTCCGACCCTTGACCTTGATCATAACGGAGACAGCAAGAATCGAAACGGTGGTGATGTTGGGAGCTGTCGGTGTTGATGATTGACAACCTGCTTACAAACTATGTGAAATAAGCGCCGTCAGATATCTTTTTTGCAAAAAAGCATCATCTGTTGAGATGCAAAATCGAGCCAAGCGTGAGAGAGAGAAAAGCTTGGTGCCCCTCCGGTTTGGTATTTTTGGACCCCACCACTTGCCTAAAGCGGGAGTTTCCTCGTCCTGAGCCAACGAAAGGGCGCCGCGGGGGGCACCCCTCTATTTTTATCGTACCAGGCACCCGGGACGCCTGATTGGCGGCCGACGCTTCGCTTGCACCCTTTTGAGCTTAAAGTGCTGACGGGCAGGGATGGGAGCAGGGCTTTGTCACCCCCCCCCCCGCCATGAATAACTCTTCAACGTTTTTTCTCTTCGGCTCTTCGAGCATGGAAGAGGGTGTGCACAGCATTTTCTATTGTCTCATTGTCCTTGAATCTTCGAGCTCTCATTGAACAGTCTGCTAATAAAAACAGAAAAAGGAAT